GAGCAATTCGGAGCTCTTTAGAAACGGAGATAAAATTAACTTTGAAGTTTGCATCCATCATTCTCCTTTGCAAGCGGAGCTCCAACGGAGTACATTTTCTGGATTTCTAGGTTCCAGTGAGGCATGGATCAATTTTCTGTCATTTGGGCAGTTTTTTGCCTTCAGTGTTATTTTTTTCGGTTCCAAGTAAACGAGACAAAACATGATATTGATTTATAAATGAAATTCATGGCTTTTAAACTTCCTCTGACTTTTCTACAAAAAGCTTGCTTTAGTTTGAGATTTTAAATGAATCATGCTCACATTTGAAACTGACACATTTTGATAATTAGGATTTTAAACAGGAAATTAGGAACGCCGTTTTCTTCCTACATCATGATGTCACAGCACTACTCTTGCTGTAGTTGCTGGCTTTTCAATGATGCAAACCCCTTATTAGACGCGGCGAAACCTCACAGTTTATTAAAACTGCCGCACATTAATATTTGGTGTGTATCGCACAAGTTGCCCAAATCGACGCTATGATGGAGGGTTTAACGGGACAACTTACCATTCCATCATTGATATTACGCTCATTCCTTCGGAGTTGAAGATGAATTTCACTCTTTGAATTCGAATGTTAATTGTGAAAATTACTGCATTTAGTATGCTTATTATTAAAAAGTTGAACAATACTTTTAAGACAGGGAACTTAAAATTTGAAATGGAAATGGAATAATTTTTGGATAAAAATCTCAAGAAGGATTAAAATTCAGACAGATTTTCTTTCCTTTCTAAGCGCTATTAACTACATAGTGGAGTAATGTGGGGTCGATAAATTGCTGAATTAATCAAAAGATCGTGAATAAAATTGATCAGGTCTTGTTATTTTCCGTGCAATGCATTATTTATCCTTGCCCTTTACAGTAATTTGTCACCTTCTATCCCGTCAATGTTAAATCTGAGACATAGCTAATCCATGTTGCTGATAATTAACGAAATTGATTTCATATTAATGATACTTGCCCGAATTCTGTATCAAATTGTTTAGAAGGTGCTGCCATACAAAAGATGTGGGATTTTAGCTTGTTTTTGGTTCATACATTATAATATATCACAACCACAGTTACAAAATCTATATTTCAACACCCAGATATACAAATTATATAAATACTAATGTCAAGATATCTACCACATATTACCATAATTATCCTGCAATAAGTCCAGGAAGGCAACACAAAATCACAGACTTCTTGTAGAGGCCGGATGTTTTACAGAACTTGAAGCAGTATTTTGTAGCATTGCTACTGAACTGAAATATATGGGTGGGCTTATTACCAGGCATGGGCTTATTACCAGGCATGGGGTTATTGCTGGATAAAGTCAGTATACTATCACACAGTAATGCCAAATACATGTGTTAAACCACCATCCAGATATACGATATAGTATACCATCACCCAGATGTACTCCTTACTTTTAATTTTACAACCCAAATACAGTGGAACCCACTTATTATGGTATACGTTGTTATGATATATCAGTTATTATGATTTTTTCCCGATGGATCAATTTTTTCCTTCTTTAACTAAGCAAAAAAACATCGTTTATTATCATATGGTCAAAGGTGGGACCCTGCTTATTATGATATTTTTTTCTGCCGTGAATGGATTTTATAAGGTAAAAACTTAGGTAAGTTGTCCGTGTGAAACACCTGAACAATTAAACAATAGGTCCAGCTGACTGTACATCGCCCAAGTTTTTCACACCTCGCGTCACCCCAGTCAGCGGAAAACAATAGATGGACCATCGCTTGCTGGTCATACATTTTAGTCTTAATAAAACAGGTGATGCAGTTAATTGCTTTCTAAAATACACTGTAGGACAGTGTATTAAAAATTGAAATGATCAGGCCTACCAACATTTTCTTACACAAATTCCGAAGAAAACAAGCATGCCTTTCACAAATGTTCACGGTTACCTTGACTCGATCGTCATGTGAGATTAATCATGCCGATTTTAATGAAAATATAACTTCAGAAGGAAAATGTGTGTTTTTAATTACTTAAGCAATAGTTTCTCTATTGCATTAGAAGTTGATCTCCCCGTGTCTCTGTTGAAAAAGTGTCAAAATCGAGGCATACCGCACTGACAGCATGGTGCCAGAAATTAATCCAAAGTTTACGTTATTGTCGTAACAACTGAAGGCGGCTGCTTTATTTACAATTTATGTTAAGTACAATATTTAATTATTGTTAAAAAGGGACTATTTTGTTTTTTAATTGTTATTGTTTCTTTGCAAGTTGATTTCACCGCACAACTTGCGAGGCATGTGATTGTCACGTGACTGTAAGTGACATAGCACGGCAACTTTTACGCTTATGGGATATAATGTAATGAAACGTTTTGTTGCAATATAGATAAATCATGACTATTTATGTCATTTTTTTCATCCTATTGACTGTAACATTACCATATCGTTAGCTAGGATGTAGTATAAAGATAGTTTTAGGAATATATACGCTCGAAGTTATTTGAAAGTGAAAGTAGAATTTACATACTGATCATTACGTTGGCAAAATGAAATCTTTTCGAATTTTTTACATCACGCTGATGTAAATAACAATTAACAAGTTATTTCAATTATTAATTTGTCATTTTGTATTTATATTTTTCCATATTTCCACATCAATCTATGTCTGATTAATATAGGCCAGCTTGATCGGTTATTATGATGTATCAGTTATTATGAAAAAAAATATGGCAAAAAGGATATCATAATAAGCGGGTTCCACTGTATAATAACACAATATTATAATTATCAGTATCAAATTAATTAAGGATCCCCATACCACAGAAAGAGTGTCAAAAACTGTAACTGAAGTGTTAAATGGAAACTGTTTTTTATGGCGTGACTATAGCTTTGATGAATCATTTCTGGGGAAAAAAATTATATCTTGCAGGACTTTTATGAGAAAGAAAAACGATTAAATAAACAAAATAGAATCAGCAAAAGTGTCCGAGTGTAAAAGTTAAGTGGGGAGAGACCGGGGTTCAAACCCTTGACTTCCGATTGTTGTACCATCTTTCTAAGCAATTGAGCTTCCTGGTCAATCAATGTGTCCTGGCACAGCTTTTTCTACAGTTACATCCAAACGGAAGTTAAGGGGAGGTTACTGTTCATACAAAAAACAACAGTACAGTGAGACAGGATCCTTAAACCATTCTCGCAAATCCACCTCTATATTTATCCTGCAGTTATAGCCAAGGGAGACAACACATATTTATAATCTCTGAAATAAGGAGGTTCACTTACAAGGCAATTATACATAGCATTTGTAAGCATATCTACTCAACTGTGATAGATATGGGTGGGCTTATTACCAGGCATGGGCTTATTACGGGATAAATCTGGTATATTAGCATTAGGACCTCAGTGGGACACTATTACGGCTTTGCATGCAGTGAAACAAAGACAAATGCTATAAGATGGTCAGACACATAGATTTTCATTTGTGCAAACATTTGATGCTAAATCTAGCTACATTTAAGGTATATACGACTAACTCTCTAAGACAATGGCTCTACTTATCATTGTGTCCCTATTTGATTTGTTAATAGATGATCTGTATACGTGCCGATATATAATGATTTTCGTAGACAACTTCCTGGTTTACATGATGAATATGTAATTATTATATTGATGTTATTTCATGGGTATTTAATAATTGACCAATAGAGTTGATAAATTGAAGATTTCAAGATAGAAGCTTGGTGTGGAGTCCACGAAATCTGCAATAAAACGATTGTTCAGAAATGTTTGCACACACCTTCAAAAAGGATCATGGTCTGTTTATCACAAACAGCACTATTTGCTAAACAGTTGTGTTAATTGAAAGTTTAGAACTCAGGGAGATTCCCGCAATGACAAATATTTAACTATCTTAACACTGACGTACATCAATAATAATGGCCTTCGGTGCATAACAATTTTTACCTTTCATGCATTTGATGACAAATACAAAATGTACATGTAGGGTCTTGCAATTTTGGTTGGTCTGCTTTAAGTCGGGCTGGCAGACTGTGAGAAGACAAGTATCACTTGATTTCCAAATGTAATGGTTCTAATGAATGCTTTCTATATTCTAAGTTTGAATGCACTCCGATCTTCACACCTATCAATCAAAGTGACCTACTTATCCCTGCATGTCTTTTTTAACTACACAGGGACATGAGAATTAATTACAGGGTGTATATTTGGACACATCTACCTTGATAATCTAAGGGTTGCGCTGACTTAAGTCTGCACCCCTGGAAAATGTCATAACAAAATTGAAGGCTCACTGCTAGCTATTTGATTGGTCCAAGGTTAAAAAACCTGACCAATGACTTAAGGCTAATACATGTCCTTTAAAGATTACAGAAGAGTGACAGCCGACTTCAAAAATAGCCAATTTTACAGTTACTCGAGCACAAGATTCTTTGAGGTACACCCGAGAGCATAAGTGAGCGTAACCCCTGGAGTATCCAGGATAGGACACATTCTGATATTCAGGAAATATTGTAAGACATTGTAGGGATTCAGACCAATGCAACTTTCATTCAAACTACAACCCCAAATTTTGGAACTATTGGTTAGTAGAGGAGGTCTAACATCTAAAATGAAATTTCCAAACATACATAAGGGACCTTGTTATTGATTTCTATGTTCCCGTGCCCCACTACACTAGGCGTGTTGTGGTTTTTAAGTGTTCTAAAAAAATAGCTGATAATTGTGACCACAATGTCCACAGATGATAGTGCCACTCATATTTAATGCCACTTTGATTGGTGCCAACTTGTTAAGTTTACCACTTGGATACGATACCATATTAGTTGCACTCAGCCAAGTGTCTGACGGGTGATGGCAAATTTCATTACATGTTTAAAATGATTGTTTTTATCTTTTAATAAGATACTAACGAATGTGTGACGCAGTTTCATTACATGTTTAAAATAAACTTTTTTAAACGTTTCATCAGATATTAACGAATGTGTGATGCAGTCCAATGGGGGATGTGAACAGGAGTGCTGTAATAGTATCGGATCGTTCTACTGTAAATGTCGCGACGGGTTCCAACTCGCCGAAGACGGAAAGCGATGTACAGGTAAAGCAATGTAACATCATATTAATACCCCGGGTTTTTATTTGTAATTTGAACATGTTAAAAACAAATTGATCGTGGATGACTATCGGAAGCAATATGGTAATTGACCCATTGACCCCTAAAGACACATTTGAACCTAATACCAAATAATAGACTGGTAAAGTCCAGTTTAGATATATGTAGGGGTGATCATGAATAGGCAGAGTTCAGGCATATCAAATTTGGATGAATGATTTAAAGAAAAACTTTACTGAAAATGACCTATCCTCTGTTAGTAAGAGTATATATACGGAATGATTGGGAACAAAAGTGATTAGAAATTGTTCATCTTCAATTTATCTTAAAGAAATGTTATTTTTTTAAAAGACTGAGACATTTGAACTGATCATTGATTGAAACTGTTTAATACTTTTCATGTTCGCATACAGTTCTATATTGGAGACTGTGTGACACAGTGTTCCTATATACAGTCCTGGACATTGTTTCAAAATGAGAAACAGTTTATACATTTTTTATATGAAAATAATGGGTTTGGTGGATGGAAATACTTTTTGACCATCAAGCCTGCCAAAATCCTGAGAAGCTCACACAAATTAATTGTTTTGTTTACTTAGATATGGACGAATGCCAGCAAAGAAATGGTGGTTGTCAGCATGGTTGTCAAAACACACACGGGGGCTTCCACTGCACATGCCCGGCTAATTACAGACTTCACGCTGACGGCAAAACTTGTCTCGGTGAGTTACACACAGAGTTGTCTCCCATGTATCTTATAGCTAATACTAATGCCATTTTGTGTCCTTTTTTTACAGATCATACATGGATTAAAATAAGTAAAGGCCTGTTTGATGTTGAGAATCTACAGATATGTTTATATTAAAATGCATAATACATATTATCGTTGAGAATTCCAATTGGATTAAGACGTTACTAGTGAATATATATATAAAGATCCAATTTTTGTAATCCATAGAAAAAATATTTTCATGCACATCTTCGATCTTGTTATTCCTTTTTTTTTTTTTTTAAATATGATTTTATCATAAGGGTAAGGAACCAAAATGGGTGGGAAATGTGAACTTGTATGTTTAGGAAATAAATCAAGAGTTTTATCTCATTATTGCGTAAAATAATGACCATATTTCATCTGAACGTCGTTGTCACCGAGAGAAGGGCATCCATCTTCCGCCCTAATAAGGTGGTAAGCTACAAATGTGTTACGCAAGAGATGTCCGTCCTATAAAAGGTGACTTGTGACGGACTGTTTTAGGGTGTTTGAGGGGTCGTAATAGCTTTGTGGGTGTTTTAGGAGGACATATGATGAACTGTATGGGATGTTCGAGGGGATGTTTATTTCGTTGTTTTTGATGGAGCCTTTCTATTACTCAGACCATATTTTCCTGATTGAATTATGATATTGATGTAGTTGATGTGGGAATGTATGAGACAAAAAAGGCAAAATATTATGTATTTGACAGTGATGTGTAAATTATGTCAAAGGGTATCTCACACTGCCATTGTTTGTCTTACAAAATGTTGGCATTATATAAAATAGGGTTTGATATTCGTCCTGTGAAACATGATTAACCTTGGAGAAACAAAGAATTGTGTTTCCCTACTGGGTAATACATATTTTATAATGCTGAAAGAAAAAAAGAAGAAAAAAATCCCACATAAGCAGATATGATCCGGTTGATGTGCCATTGTTGCCGTCTCCTTCCGTCATTGGGAACTAGGTTGTGGTTGCCCTTGCCAATTTTTTTAGAGAAGCTCCAAATAGGGGAAATATTATCAGGAAAACTTAAGCTTGTGAATTTGAAGGTGACATGATGTTTTATTGCCCCGTCATGTGACCAATATCATCCAATAAGACATACTGTTATAAAGATGAGGTATAATATTATACATAGGGATACATATGAATAATTTTGAAACAAAAAAAGGGATAAAAAGAACCCTTCAAATATGTTCGCAGTAATTAAGGAAAAGAAGAACATTATATTATATCAAGGTTTTCTTATGTAGGTGAATGTCTAAGGGGATATTATACATTAGGCCAAAAACAATATGTGTGTTTCAGGTATCCCGACCTACCCTACATTTTCCTACCGACCCTAGAAATTGTATGACCTATTTGTATCTAAGATTAACTTATTAGCCAGGCAAAGCTAACAGCCACTCATTATAATGTCATTTCTTCCTATTCTGGGAGTCTGATCCTATTCTTGACAAATTAATATAGCCATTGTAATGTGAAAATGCATTGTAAAATTGATTTGATATAAAGCAAAATATTGATTCATGAAAATAAAAAAATAGAAATTAAAATAAAATGTATTTATGTTGATATATTGTTATCACAATTACTTTTAATGTACAGGTGTGCTTACCTGGTTAAATAAGTAAAATGTTGTCAGGTCAGGCCATTTACTGATATGTAGGTACAATTTTTCTTAATTAATATCCACCTTTCATTCACCCCTGAAGACACATTTGAACTCTCCCAATTCAAAGGTTGGAATAGTTCATCATGAAATTTCAGGGGTGAATGAGTTAAGATGATGTGCTAAAAATTGAAACCTCATACAGATCAAATTTGTAAGACTTATCTCCCTTTATAATTTTCCTGCAAAAATTACCTGCAATTAAGCTAATAGATATATATCCTTTGTAATGATGTCCATTTTAAATGTTTTATTATTAAATGGTTGATTTTGTCCAAATAATTGTGTAACCATTCACATCAGATGTACATATTTCTTATCTTGGAACTCTTTGGAATGAAGGTTTGTGTCACTGAGAGTAGGTAGTAAATATCCTGAACAGACACAATCGTACACATCAGCATCACAGTTTTGTGTAGGACAGAATTTACTAAAACCTTCACTTTGTTTGAAAAGTAAACCAATAATTTTCCTTTGTTTTTAATCCATTTGAATAAAAAAGAAAAATCATAAATTAAAAATAAAAATTATAAGGATTTATTTTCTAACAAAAAGATATTTTCAGAAAGTAATACCCCAATTTTTTTTAATTTTTTATTTAACATCAGCTACTACTTTTATTTCAGTGTTAAAAGAAGATTTTATTTATCAGATTTTCTGGGGGGGATTTTGCTGTGAAAGAGTGAAAAGATCGCCTGATGAAATTATTTAAACAGATTTAATAGCAGATGACTTTTGAGTGATCTCTGTATGTGTCATTACCAATATTCCTTTGTTATTACTGTGACAGTATTCAATTACAGTACTTTAAGCAGATACAATGTCTTTATGTACAGTGTATTTATGTTTCCTGTATTTTAAACCATCAACAGTTCTAGTTATTCCTTTACAAAGAATTCAAGAACGCTTCATCGTGATTGTCCTGAAACAAATTATTGACTGGTCCGAGTTTACTTTTCAATTAAGCAGCTTTTCCTTTAGGTTACTTAAACTACCCCATCACTGAGTTCAATAGGGTGAAAAATGTCATTTACTTTCAATCAGAAACCATAAATGTCCAACTCTGAAAACCTAACCCAACACACAAAATCAATCTGTAGCATTTTGTATGGATTTAAAGACCTCGGAAGAGGAAAGCTAATTACAAAGGCCACCGAATATTGGGAATCACATGGTACACCATCGATCGAGCTTGAAAACACGACAGGATTCTCCGGATATCCAGTCGCTGCCAAAGTTAGATAACAAATGTTTCGGATATTAGCGAATCCGAGTGGCTACATGAATTCAATCATAATTATTCTGTTATCCATATTTCGGATGTTGGCGATTTTTATCCCCAATTTCTTTGTAATTATTCTATTATTGTTCAGACACGATAGACACATTTTTGAGTACAAGTGTTCTTAATTGCTCTGCAAAATTATGGAAAATTATGATTGAGCGGTAATATGAAAATTTCCCAGCCAGTGACATTTCAGGGTTTAGAAAATTAGCGAAACATCAGTACGGGGACTTCATTAAAATATTTCGGACTTAATTAATATTGAACTGATCGTGGAAAAATTTATGTCTTGTTGACATGCACAGCACTGTCAGTTGTCAATTAAATACACCGAATTTGACTAACGACACATCATAATTATTGATTTCTTAATGCTATTAGGGACAAGAGTCGTTACGTTAGTGACTTCTGTATTCATGTCAATGTTCAGTATGTGAGACCCCATTTCAATAAGTTTTCATAATTGACTTTATTTTGTCAATTAGGTTTCTGTAATCTTATTTAACTTGAAAGTGTGTGACCTCTTTCCAAGGATTCTTCTAGTTCATCTTAATTCATCAAAAAAATATTCTTTTCAGAATTTTAATTCTTACATCGGGTGACAGTAATTAAGACCCATTTACCTGTTGTATAATAAGTCAATTTGGTCTAAATGCTTAAGAAAAAGGAAACAAATATTTTTTATGTTTAAAAAGGTTATTTCAAGTAACTAAAAGTTATCTCAGATAAAAAAGTTAAGATATTTAGAATTCTACACTAAGTTAAGTTGTATCCTGAATATCTGCAGTCTTCCCTGAAAATGTAGCTCTTAAGAAAAAAATATGATGAAATACAAAATATTTCAACAGTACCAGTTCCTGACATTTAATACTGATTATTTACAAGCTACGGTATAACCTGAGCGATGATATGGACATTTTTAATTCCAAATTCCAAAAAAGTTTTGTTTTTTTTCCTTATGAAAGAAATATGTATTTTAACTTATTACTGCATACAGTCTTTTTTCTCTAATCTTCATTAATCTAGAAATTTGTACACTTTTGTTCCTGAAAACACATTTCCCAGAAATATTACTTAAAACAGGATACATGTTCTGACAGATAATAATTTAGAAAGTCACCTGTCCTTATTAAGGACAGTTGCTACACTACTGACAAATATATCTCTATTACGTAAGAGTTCCAGCAGGAAAGGAGTTATTTTTATGAATGGTCAGTTGAATTAAGACCCGGTGAATTGATTTATGATATATTTGAAAAGTAAACAAGAATTTATTTAATGCTTAGCTTTATAAAACTCAGGTAAGTCTGGATGGTTTTAAAGGGAGATAATCTACTCTCACTTCAGGCGCAGGTTTCATGTGTAACATAGCATATACCCTTAATAATGTCTTTATTGACTAGCTTAAGTTTCCACATGGTAAAATTTGAAATGAAAATGATACTTTTACTGACAGATAAGAATTACTATTTTTTTTCTTTTCCATATTTTGAAAAGTTTTTAATTAAAAAAGAAAAAGCAAGCAAAATGAGAGAATTTAATTTTACTTCACATAAGAAACTTTATGAGAGCATATTGTCGACGCATTAGTGATTGTATTTCATGTACTGTATAAGTAGTGCTACATGTATATGGGACAGAATGATTCATTTTGACATTAAGAGAGTTTAAAGTTTAAACAGCTGGACTCAATGTAAGAAAAGAAATCATGATTTTTCGAGTTGGCGTTCGAGTACAAGAACCCTTGACTATAGAACTGAAGAGTTATTGAACAAATCTGCAAATCTTGAATGAGAAAAAATTGATTGAGTCGAGTCATGGTCACCCCACTTATAAAGTACACAAAACAAAGAATGGGGCTAGCAATGGGTCACATATAAAAAATCTGACATTTTTTCTCTCATGTCAATGTGCACCAATCGCAGTGACATTTAGACACAAAAAAGGACTTTTGAAAAATTCATTGGTAGCAATTTTAAGGTAAATGATGACCTCTGCTATGCAGTTAATGGTTGCTAAGTCACATTAAGTGAAAATACACAAAATGACATTATAGGAACACTCTAGCAACTCAGTTTGGCAAAGCATTAATCCTTTCACCACTCAGTAGACCATAATGGACTCTCATCCAGATCAATGCGTGGTAGAGTCTACTCAAGTTACATGGGGATCAAACAGTTAAGGAATACTTTTATGACATGTACCCTTATTTATGCCTTTATGAGGACTTATGCCCCCTCAGGCTTGCCACAGGTGAAGTAGAGTAATCTAATAGATTATCAGTCACAAGTACCCACTTTAAAACCTTGTATGTTTGCCATGTTTAAAGTCGGAAACATTGGAACCATTCAGTTTTTACAAGTCAAATGACCTGTTGTATTAGTTTGATGGATTAGCTAGTTTCTTTGTAAGATTAAGCATTTACACCCCATTTATAGAGTTCCTTTCTTTTTAATGGTTGCCCCATCCTTCCATGGGGTCGACCTGTTTGATGGGCCACCCGACACTAATGTAGCTGCGATAGTATTTCGGCTACTACATGTATAAGAATTGATCGGATGTAATCTGCAAAGTAAGATTGAAGCATTTCAGTTAATTTAGTGTGAAGGTACCTGGTGAATTGTACAATAAAAAGATTTGATAAGAATAGCTGGCAATTTCACTAATTGAAAACAACAATGAAATGCCTTCTTGATAATGAAGGGTCAACCCCAAGTTTACAGACCGTCTTTTCAATAGCACGTTTATTACCTTCTCAGGTATATTTAAGTTCCCTCAGTATAAAGGTTTGAAATACTAACGGTGGTGGATAAATGTTTCACAGAACAAGCTCTAGAGCTCTCATGAATTAGAGGGAAGTTCACTACTTGTGAATTGGTGATCTGATCAATGTGGTAGATAGGGGTGGGGATTTAACACTCCAGATCTTGTTGGATTGAAATCTGTTAGGATAGAGGATAGCGATGTGTTTTACATTCTGTATGACTATTGTTTCATGATTTTGCCTATAAACTGCCAGAATTTACAATGGCCATTGTTGTTTAAGAATTGTTATGTGAATTGTCACTTACCATAAAAACCTTTGTTTACAAACTGGTACCAATCTTACAACATCCAACTGGGGGCCACGGTGGCGGGTTCGATGCCTACATTTGGACAATCACGGTGACCGAGTGGTTCAGGCGTCTGACCGTCTACAATCACTAACCGTCCAACCCTTGGTTGCGAGTTTGATGCCTATGTGGGATAGTCGCGGTGGTTGAGTGGTTCAGGCATCTGACCGTCTACAATCACTTACCCTCCAACCATGGGTCGCGAGTTTGATGCCTATGTGGGATAGTCGCGGTGGTTGAGTGGTTCAGGGGCTGACCGTCTACAATCACTAACCCTCCAACCACTGGGTCGGGGGTTCGATGCCTACATTGGGACAATCACGGTGGCCGAGTGGTTAAGGCGTCTGACCGTCTACAATCACTAACCCTCCAACCCTGGGTCGCGAGTTTGATGCCTATGTGGGATAGTCGCAGTGGTTGAGTGGTTCAGGCATCTGACCATCTACTATCACTAACCCTCAACCACTGGGTCGCGGGTTTGATGCCTACATTGGGATAATCACGGTGGCCGAGTGGTCAAGGTGTCTGACCATCTACAATCACTAACTCTCAACCACTGGGCCGCGGGTTTGATGCCTACATTGGGACAATCACGTTGGCCGAGTGGTTAAGGCGTCTGACCATCTACTATCACTAACTCTCAACCACTGGGTCGTGGTTTTAATGCCTACATTGGGACAATCACGGTAGCCGAGTGGTTAAGGCGTCTGACCATCTACAATCACTAACTCTCAACCACTGGGCCGCGGGTTCGATGCCTACATTGGGACAATCACGGTGGCCGAGTGGTTAAGGCGTCTGACCATCTACAATCACTAACTCTCAACCACTGGGTCGTGGGTTCGATGCCTACATTGGGACAATCATGGTGGCTGAGTGGTTAAGGCGTCTGACCATCTACTATCACTAACTCTCAACCACTGGGTCGCGGGTTCGATGCCTACATTGGGACAATCTCGGTGGCTGAGTGGTTAAGGCCTCTGACCATCTACTATCACTAGCCATCCACCACTGGGTCATGGGTGTCAGGCCTATATATATATGGGACAGTCCCCAGGAACTGGCCTCAGGTCGTTTTTTTTTCTCCGAGCACTCTGGTGATGACCATAGCTGTTAATAAGATGTAAAACACAAACAAACCAAACAATGTCCAACTCAGTATTTTTAAAATCTGTATTGATTATGTGTTTCATATAACACACTTTTTCTAAAGCACCTTAATAATGTGACTGCTTTGTTTCAGAAAAGGGAAAATCGTGGAGATATTCTATTGCACTTTGAATGAGGAATTTTTCTTCTAATCGTTAAAACGTTTGACTTGATATACAGAAAGCAGTATCGGAGTATAATTATGACGAAACTAAATCCAAGCTGTTTACACAGTGACAGTAATTTTCCCCATTTATATGTTGCACTTGCCGTTTCCCTATATTGATTACACAGTCTTAATGTTTATTATGCACAAAAAGACGAAAATGGCATTATATGTAATCAAAAGACGTGGGTAGGGTTATAAATGTCTTTAGAAAACGTCTTCTTCTCGAAATCACTGACACCTAATGGAATCACAAGTTGTATTTATAAAACATCATGTTTATTTCATGTGTGGGATAGGAAATAATCTTTGAGAAAACATAATTTCGTTGTTTTATCACTCTTTCTTTCTATTGCTATACTAGGTTAAACAGGAAAATGATATTAAAGTACCCAAGAATGGACAATGTTTAATAGAAAATTAGATAAAGTTATTAAAGCTAGCCACACTTAAGAAGAAAATTAGTTAAAAACATCAGAGAAAAACAAAAACTAAAAATTAATTGAAAAATAAAGATAAACAAATATTTGTTTGTAACAAATCAATCAATTTCAAAATTATATTTTTCCTTATATTGGTATATTATTATACAGTACATGTATATCAATGTCAAACATAGATATAACAGAATGAAAAGGTGTTCAGATAATAAATATTTCAGCTTTAGAAACAAAAAATAGTAAAATAAATAATGATATCACCTCCAGTCCAGAAATGTTTAAACAACTCGCTCAATTATCACTGAATTTACGCAAATATTTTTATGATTGTGCTTGAAATGGCATATGTTTGAAATTTGAATTCATAGAAAGTGGATAATATAATATTGTACTTATTTATTATCCCTTATTTGGTTGTGTCTGAAATAAACCACTTTTGAGACAATTGACTTCACCATGAACTCTTAAATTAATTGGCAGCATCTACTGATGATGAGAAAACAGAATTTAGGTGCAATTTAACGGACATGTACATTTATCAAGCTGGTATAGGGAAGACAGATCTTCGCTAGCCAAGTGTTCGCTTCGTATATACTCCACTTACCCACTTAACCTGGTAAGTGGAGTAGTGTATACAAAACACTTGGCTAGCGAAGATGGGGAAGACATGGGTATTTATTCACCTTGTTGTATAACATCCCCCTCAAATTAAGGAAATATCTGGTGTCAAAGGTGAAAACAAAATGATACAAACCACATGCTTAGTCTGGTTGACAATGACAAAAATACAATGAAAAGATGGGATCACTTTCAGAAGTCACAAGTCCTGCATTTCAGGCAATACATGGGCCAAGAAGGATAACTCCTGTTCTGTTATTTGAAAGTATCTCTCAACTACAAATTGTACAGTTTAAAAAAAAACATGTTTTGTTTGATTTCATTTCTTTTTTCTTGGAAAAAAAGGAAAAAGTGTAATTTATAGTGATTTTTTAGATCAATTTGTGGTTGAAACATTAAATTAGATAAGTGTTATGTCAGCAATGTATAAGGGTATACCTTACAATATATACCATTAATCATTTTACCTGTGGTTTTAGTTATATCCCTTAACATTTGTAATTTAACCATGACCTGTTTTATGGAGAATATAGTAATTGTTTTCAATGACCTGAATCTTGTGTAACTCTCCAATACATAATCAATTATGTCCAAATGACCATTTCTGACATTTTTTTTACAAGTTTCTGGTTTAAGTGCAGAAATCGATCTGAAAAAGAAAACTATGAAGGTTAACTCATTCACCCCTGATGATACATTTGAACACTTTCAATTCAAAGGTCGGAAAAGTTCATTATGAAATTTCAGGGGTGAACGAGTTAACATGCATCTTTAATTATTCCTTAATTAGATAATGTGTATGTATATATGACCTTCCAATGTCCTTGAACCCTGACAGATCCTGACTATACAGCCACACCAGAAGCAAGTGTTAATGTTGTATCCTGGCAACCAGAAATTACAGGTTTCTTTATACCAGTTTGAAGGTCACATTTCAAATTTGCCATGTGACGTCATTATATATTTTTGCATTCCTTTTGCACACAATTTTAGACATTTTAGTCGGCAGCAAATGAACATATTGTATAACATATGCTAAAGTTAGAGTAATGTGGATTTGTTTTAATTTAACTGAATTATTAAAATTATAGTTTGATTTAAGTATTTCTCTTATTCAACTTGTTGCTATTACATTGATTTTAAATCGTAAGACCCTCATAACACAAAAATACAGAATGTACAGCTATTAAAACCGATCAAGGTTTTTTGGTCAACAAAATTGAATACAAATTTAGATTTACATGATTCAGTAAGTATTGATTTGACCATGGGATCAAAATCCACATTCCTTTTCTTGTTTGGTGAATTTTGCTGAAATGATAGTTCCTTGCAGCTGTTTAGCAACCATATAGAGATTGCAGTATTGCTCCATCCAATGGACGGAAATGTAGCTTACAGCCAATCAGAATTAACGTGTTTTTGCTTTTTCCTTTACACTGAAATGCTTTTTCTTTGACCTCGGAATGCAGCCGATGATGAGGAAGACTCTAATGTTGTGGGTGCCCCTATAGCTCTGCCCCTCGTGGGCATCCCCAACCCTAACCATCATGATACTCAGGTGGGCTCCATTCGTGAGGACGATGGAAGCCCACAGCAACTTGCAAATTATATCCACGAATCATGGCAACCGGACGAAATTCGATATAGGCGTCCTGTTAATCAATACCCAGGTAGTACCTCACCAAGTTACCGTGGAAACAGCATTCAAGGTCGCAGATTTCCAGGTACCTTGGATGTCTTTGACCCAGCTATCGTGATCAGAGATCGAAAAATATTGTGTATGTTTATTTCAATTCTAGTATGGAAGTTTTGTAATATAAGTGTTTTGTCAACAGTTGTCGTTACTTCCTCGACAACTGTTGTCACGTGTCTCTCCATCGGTCGTCATGACGATGGTTAACCTGGGTGATTTTCTCCGCCAGCATGTCCCCTTTTTCATTTGTGTTTGCCTTGTCTTTGGTGTTGTAATGTAGTTTTAATTTTTAGTGATAGATGTTGTACAAAATATATATGCAATATTTTTTAAACCAGCAAATGTTTGTGATAAACACAATGGTCAGATTTATTTTCCAGGAAATATACAGATTTTGATGTTTTGGATAGAAATCATCTTTGATAAAATGAGTTATTCCCCTTGACAAGCATAAACAAATACAAACATTTGTTGCTATGTCGGATTCTCTCACATTTGCTAGAACGAGAGACAATAACAAAAATGATTTTTGCTATTTTTCTCATTGATGTTTTATTTCTCCATTTTTTAAGCCAACAAAATTAGAAACAAGATTGGTAAAACGATTCATTCCTTAGCCATCTTGCGTATACGTATCACTGTGTATGGTAAAGTTGATTCCAACATGTCTGTTTATGTTCCATATATCATTGTTCTCTCTTGTTAGTGTCGGAGAATTTTTCAGTATTGATAGTTATATATTCTACGACAAAATTCCCACACTTAAATTACATATGTACTTAAATGAGAAATATACCGTATTCATCCTAATATGCGATTACAAAAAACAGGAGGGGTGCGTGCATGTACTTATTAAATTGCTTTGTGTTAAATTAAAGCCATCCGTATGCGTCAAATTGACTGGTCTCCCAGTCTTTAGTGGTAAATGCCCTGTTGTTACTGCAGAAGTGATTAATGTATCGGTAAGATTTTATGAGATCTTGCAGCAGGATGGATGCTAAATGGTCGTGTTTCCCGACAATTGTGACCAACAACATGACCACTGAAATACAATGGTGGACGCAAGTGGGTAGGACAGTTTTACAGTCAATTCAGATGATAATCACGTGAGGTTAGTGATAGAAAAGCAGAATTAGAAATGATAAAAACTTCTGGAGTTGAATAATGGAACTGATATTCACTGGTCAGATTTTGAACAGATAGATCTATTGGATGACTATAGTTATATAAAAGTGACCGATAATGAAAACGATCGTGTTTGGGATGAGTTTGACTTTAAACATTTATGCAATCTTTCAAAGGATGAATGGAATAACTTGACGGAGACAGTTGGCGTAATCTTGAATCAGAAAATGATGCTTAAGATACACTGGCTTATATTGCATAGTAATGTAAAGGCTAAAGGGTGCAAAGTCTTCTGCAAAAAAAATAATGATTAAATTGGCAGCTCCGTGAAGTAAGCAACCTTTTGACAGATTTTAATTAAGCACACCCATCCTCTTTCTAAGAAAAGTGGTGAGGCTAGCTTATAGCCTGGGCAGGTTCACTTATTTGGTTGAATACGGTATGCACGATTTATCCATGATCACTATAGATATAAAACAAAATAAGCTCTTCAAAATTTTCATGTTTTTAATCTGTTGCTAACTCACATAACATTAAAAATATTTCACGTAATTTGTGTGAAAAATTCTCCTCAAAATTTTGTTCAGCTCAGCTATGCATATGATTTTAATCAACTCTTTTATCATTAATTCCTTTTTTTTACTCAGAATAACATGTATAATAGAAAAATCGCCCCTCCTTTCAACTGCCACGTTAACCCTCCCCCAAGTGTTTCTTGCTGCTTGCGGAAAAAATGCATTTTTGCAATGCAAAAAGTTTGAAAATACTTTTTATGTTTTGTATAGCTGCATTAATTATACTGTTAATATTTCCTGTGTGTTTAGTGCGCTATTTATGTATTGTTTCTGTCCTGATTTTCATGCCGAGTGCTACGTATATATAGTCCAAAGCTTTAGATATAGCTTTGATGTATGTTGAGGCGTTATCGATTTAGATGTGAACATTTTAAGATTCTGCCAAAAAAAAAATTCTACGAAAATTATTGTTTTTTCTCGGAAGAAAACAAGATTTATGTTTAAAATGAATTTGCTTAAAAATTAAACGACAAGTTTGCTGTGTCAATATCTCATCAAATGCTTTAGCTGGTGATTCAGTAGCTTCTCCCAAGGTAGCAAGTCTTAATGTATGTATTTAAAAACTTTTTAAACAGTCACAAAATTTTAAGAAACTAGACCGAGTGAAACTATGCAAAAAAATAACAACAGATGATTTCCTAGGGTAAAAAAAAAGTAAAAAGTAAAACAAATGTCACTCTAAATCCCAATGTTGCGATCTCCTGGCTTTCTTCAAGGGCAAAAAACAATGATTTATTCAACATCTACCTCCAAAGCAGCAAGATGCATGTTACTTGAATCAATTGTTGACTTTCTCCCTCAAAGAAGGACAGGAGGCAGAAATTTTGGACTTAGAGTGACATTTGTTATGTTTTTTATGCAAATACAATCGGAAATTTAAGAAAATTTTACTTAAATTTTTGGCTTCTTTAAAAATTAATAAACCAATAAATATAAATATAATAAATCAGGTATTAACCATTCAACTAAATAAATCAACTTAAAATTGCCAGTCTAAATCACTGACATTTACTGTTCAACTCCGACTATGTCAAGGTATTTTTTGTCCATTGAAGTCACAGACATTGGCTTTTTAACTTAAACAGATTAAAATTTAAAATACTTCTCATTATTGATTAAAGACATTTACTGTTCAACTGAGATTAAACAAAATTAGGAGAATTACTAAAAAAGAATGGTATTTGAAATCACAGAAATTTACTTTTCAATTTATATGGATTTAAATTACAAAATACTCTTCAAAATTAATGAAAGAGATTGAGCATCTAACTTAAACTGAAAACATTATTTTAAGCTGCAAATATTTAGTGTTCAACTTCGGATAAGATTCGAATTTTCAGACATTTACCGTTCGTAGTGACAATTTAAAGTGAAGAACATAATTCAAAATCATTTACAGAAAATTTCTTTTTGTCAAGCGAATCAGTCTTTAAAGTTGCCTTGTTAGGACCACGGGGTTGTCTGTGCTTGACAGATAAACGGCCTAAAATCAATGTATCGTCAATTACTGGTAACAAGGCTAGTTCGGGTGAACCAATGTTTGATGGACGAAGCCTGTAATTGAAAGAGCAGCGTCTGTATGGTCGGTAATATTACAGATGTAACAGCAGAATAGTCGGTTTAGGCTATTATATAAATGCTTTCATCTTTAAAGGTCTTGGCAGAATATATTCTGTAATTTTTTGATGGTTTCATAGTGACATAAATGCACATTTAGCAAAAGCCGTTATTGCTTTGCTTAGCATTTAGCATGAACCTAGCCTTGTTATTAAGTTTGTTTGAACAGCCGATCAGCATGTATTTAGCAGTGTTTACCGGCTGTTTTTAATCAGAATNAAATTTTTTTTTTTTTTTTTTTTTTTTTATCTTTGCTGTTATTTGAGAGCTTTTACTATTGATCATTTATGTTGAATTTTACCAAATTATTTCATAAATTTTACATTTTTAGTAAAAAAAAAGATCATCCTTATATTATATGTTATTTTTAGTTGACTAGGATGTTAGCGATTCTCAATAATGTTTTCAGATTCAGAAATTATTAGATATGTTAAGGCATCAATTTACTAATTTGAAATTCTGTTTTTTGTATATTGTAATATTCAGGATATTGATATTCTAATCTGTTCCAACATGAATTTCTTTCTTTTCCATGAGAATATATAGATTGTCCCTATACACTAAAAACAGTTTTGTTGTCATTGACAACAGGTTTTTTGTTGTTGTTTTTTTGTAAAATGTAGATAATATTTATGAGGATTTACATACATATCTACAGTAAAACCTGTCCTATCTGACTCCTTGGTTTTATGACATCCGTATAATATTACACAATGATGTTATCTCATCAAATGACAGAATTGAACTTTTATATTTAGATGCTCAAGTGTCTAATCTGACCAAACTTTTTTCACACCACAGGGTGTCAGATTAGACAGGTTTATATGGTATAGCACATGATGTCAGATTAGACAGGTTTATATGACCAACATGTGTTATATCACAGGGTGTCAGATAAGACAGGTTTATATGGCTAACATGTGGTGTAATTCACAGGTTTTACTTTAGATATGATATGAAATGAACCTGTTCAAAATTATGTCGGTTTTATTAAAAAAATAAAATTAATAAAAAAAATATGAATAAAAACAATGAATTTGATACTAGGTAGAGTGATAACAATGTTAAGGTTTGTGGTATAGATATATGTTTAGGGTCAGTGTTCTTAATTGTACTGTATAACTTTAAGTGGTTCCTAGTATCTTATTAGAAATTAGAAACATGTAGCCGTAATTTCTTATCTGTGAAGATTATAGCATTTTCTTCTTTTCTCATTCAACAATTTGCTTCCGGATTTCTTTTTAATGGCTGAGAAAAATAGAAAATAAAAAATTCAACTACTGGATAACAAAACTAAATTCATTGTTTAAAAGAAGTTTAAAAGTTGTATCTGCAGCAACGGTAGTGTATTGATTTAACTTGAGCAGAATATGTGTGCCATACATGTATTCATTGTTATTGATTTTCCAGTTAAACGTGCTTAACGAAAAACAAACAAATTAAAAGCACTTTACTTTGCAAAAGTATCTTATCAACAGCACTGTATTTCTTCCAATTCTTAACAGAAACTTTAGGTTGGTTATTTTTGACACTAATTGTCTCTCATGTCGTATTTCATTGATTGTGCAACATCTTTGTTTGAATCAACATTGACACTTGGTTTTGATTTTGGCAGCCATTTCGGGATGTCAGCGAGATAACGGGGGCTGTCAACATGACTGTCAGGACGGGTACGATGGAAATCACTACTGTAGCTGTCGAACTGGCTACATCATCAACTCAGACGGCAAAACCTGCGACAGTAAGATCATTTTACTTTTGTTCAATAATTTTTCTCTCACAGAATTTGTTCTTTAGCAAAAATCTGTATTCACTACAGTTGAAGACTTATAAGCAGTGCAGAATTGCAAAATTCAAAAGAAAGATCATTCTTATGTTAAATTAATAAAGTCTATGCATGCTTAGGATGGGAGGTTTGAGAACCTTAGCCATTGTCGGAATTAACCCAATCTTGTTCAGGTACTTGTCTTTTTTTCCGTGTACCTCATTAGTTTGAAAAATATATTAATTTTTTCATAGTTAAATATCCTATCTTGTTCCTCATATTAAATATATACTCTGCACTGCTAAATCTTTGCTTTTTCTTTGACTTGTTTTTACCTTCCCTGTCCATTGATTTTCTTTACTATGATTGTTCTTACATTGTACATGTTGTTATCCCCCCTGTCCAGTTACATGTTGTTATCTCCCCTGTCCTGTTAAATGTTGTTATCTCCCCTATCCAGTAACCTGTTGTTATCTCCCCTATACAGTTACCTGCTGTTATCTCCCCTGTCCAGTTACATGTTGTAATCTCCCCTGTCCTGTTACATGTTGTTATCCCCCCTGTTCTGTTGTTTGATCTGTAATTTGACATGTTGTTACCTCCCCTGTCCTGTTACATGTTGTTATCTCCCCTGTCCTGTTACATGTTGTTATCCCCCCTGTTCTGTTGTTTGGTCTGTATTTTGACATTTGTTATCTTCCCTGTCCTGTAACATGTTGTTAACCCCCCTGTTCTGTTGTTTAATCTGTAATTTGACATGTTGTTATCTCCCCTGTCCTGTGACATGTTCTCCCCTTTTCTGTTACATGTTGTTTTCTCCCCTGTCCTTTTACATGTTGTTACCTCCCCTGTCCTGTTTTATGTTGTTATCTCCCCTGTCCTATTATGTGTTGTTCTCTCCCCTGTTCTGTTGATTGGTCTTTATTTTGACATTTGTTATCTCCCCTGTCTTGTTACATGTTGTAACTTTCCCTGTTCTGTTATATGTTATCTCCCCTGTCCTGTTATAAGTTGTTATCTCCCCTCTCCTGTTGTTTGTTTGTATTTTGACATGTTGTTATCTCCCCTGTCCTGTTACATGTTGTAACTTCCCCAGTTCTGTTATATGTTGTTATCTCCCCTATCCAGTTACATGTTGTTATCTCCCCTGTCCTGTTACATCTTGCTATCTCCCCTGTCCTGTGAAATGCTGTTACCTCCCCTGTCCTGTTACATGTTGTTTTCTCCCCTGTCCTGTGACATTGTGTCACCTCCCTGTCCTGTTGTGTGATCTGTATTTTGACATATTGTTATCTCCCTTGGTTTGTTTAACAGTGAAGGATCCATGTCGAGACAGAAACGGTGACTGTGAACAGAAATGTTTGAACGAGAGAGGACGGGCCGTGTGTCGATGTTTTGTGGGCTACAAACTGTCTCAAAACGGCCGTGACTGCGAAGGTTATTTTCACCAATGGAAAAAAATCAAAAAGAAAATCAATCATTCATGCATATTCAACAGCATTTTGTAGAAAAGAAAAAATATTAGAAATTTTATGTCAAAATGGAATAAGTATTATTAGAATTATTATTATAACCAAGTTTCATTTGTAGTGATGTAAACGATTATTGTTATTGGTTATGAAATAGACAAACAGTTTGTTTTGCTTAGATTATGATAAAATCTTTAATGGTAAACTTGAGATAGCAAGGGTAATTGACATAAGCAGGGTATTTGAGATAACCCAGGTATTTGACATTTGGGTATATGCAGAATTTGACATAACTGGAGTATGTTTTTTTACACTACAATATATGGCAAAATCCAGGTATTTGAGATAAAATGTAACACATTTTGACTGCATATGGTTATAGCCATTTTGTGCTCGACAGATATGGATGAATGTGAGGCAAACAATGGCGGATGTACACAGGCCTGCATCAACACCCAAGGATCCTTCACCTGTACCTGTACGCCAGGCTACCAGCTCGGGGTCGACGGCCGATCCTGCTACAGTAAGTGTCCACTCCAGTCTCATTTTATGAGTTTTGTGAAAAGTCATATGTGATTAACAATTCTTATCAAAGCAAATTCTAATTCATTAAAACCAATAAGATACAATCAGGTTTTAACTCATTTACCCCTGAAATTTCATAATGATATATTCCAACCTTTGAATTGGAAGAGTTTAAATGTGTCTTCAGGGGTGAATGAGTTGAGGCTATTACCTATCATCAATGATGGGAGATTTAACTTCATTGATATGAGATCTTTGATTTACAGGAGATCAGATTTCAAGATAAATAAAGCAACTTTTCTAGATATTGAGATTCTTTTTTAGTCACACTTTCATCATTTTGAGAGGACTCGCTGTGAATTCAGTTTCAAGTGCACACTTTGTGAAGACAATTACAGAAATGCATTAATGTGTCAAGTCTGCCATCAAAGGATTATACATGTCTGGCTTTAACTCCGGTGTGGTGTCATATAGTAACCACGTGATCATTTATTTTAATAACGTGCATGTCCCTTCTACCCCTAGGTAACTTTAGTAGACTCTACCATACATTTATCATGATGTGTCTTTTATGGTCTACAGCGGTGAAAGGGTTAAAGAAATGTAACCCTTCATTCCCAAAAGAAATTAAGTCCAGAATGAGAATTTCAAGGTTCACATTACACTACCATGTTAATCATAGACATGCATCAAGGGAAATAACTCTTGAATTTTTGTCCTAGCTTTTATCTGCACAGTTTAGTTGTTTCTTAACAGTCTGTCCCACTTCTAACATCAATACCAATATTTTGTGAGTTTTGAATACCTCAATTTTCAAAGTGTATACAATTTCTGTGAAAAAATATTGTATCATTTTTAATTTATTTGGTATCTTAATGGATAAAAAAAGGAATTTTGGAGATGGGGAGGTTGGTGGGGGGTTGGGGAGGTTGGGAGATTGTTTATTTAATTCATTTATTGGATAATGAAAATCTGGGTTAGTGTTCAAATTTCTACATATAAAACAGCTTATTATGGTGTTAACTCATTCATCCCTGAAATTTCATAATGAACTATTGCAACCTTTGAATTGGAAGAGTTCAAATGTGTCCTCAGGGGTGAATGAGTTCAAGAATCTCTTTTATTATCTATCTGTTATGTGAATATTGTTTGTGAAGGTGGCAATGTTGTTAAAAATGTTTTTACGATATTAGATTACAACAGAATTAACTTTACAAAGGCATTTACCCGGTACAATATCGGGTAAGGGGTCAGTGTTATTAGCTAACATGTTTATGATTGGGTAAGAGCTGGGTGAGTGAAGTAAATAATATCTGAATGGACCATTTACCGGTGTATAAGAGGGGCGTTTAATATACTAAGGTTCGGGGGATAAAGGTAAGTTTAATGTCTCGTTAGATATTGATCTATTGATGCAATCCTTGCGATGATTTCTCTGTCTTTTTTCCTGTTTCCATTTTCACCATTGCTAATAATGAAGGTGCCACTTGCGTCTATGGTAGGTATTGCTGTTGTCACCTTTCTTCACCAGACTTACCCGCCACCAATCCTCGTCCATTAGTTAAGCCCCAGATACCCCCCACCCCCACCCTTCTTTAATCTGAATCACCCCAATCAACACCTTCTACAAACGTGGAGCTGATTTTCTATCTCCAACTTTCCTGAACCATTTTCTACAGTTTAGACCTGTAGTTTGAAATATTTTTTGAAAATAAATCTTGATGTTGTGTCATTTTATTTCAGATAATTGTAGACAATATGTTTTCATATGATTTTTAGGTCAATATTTTTTCCGTTTACATTTATAGAATACAAATTTTTCGTAATTATTTATTGAGATGTATGTTGTCAATTTCACATTCATTTCTTGTCAAAATATTTTTTATATTTATTCATAGATGTTTTTTTCTTCATTTCTATTCATGGATCAACACATTTTCCTGTCAATCAACATTTTTTAATACTATTTGAGTTTAGTTCAGCATGATTTATATATTTATTCTTAAAAAGATCAGGTTTTAATATATACAATCGTAAATCTTATATAGATCATAACTTTGTGTGTTATATGTTTTCATATCATCATACCTATAGAGCAATCATACCTATTGATTTATTTTCTAAGAATGGTCTGTTTCCATATTATTCCAAGATCGATTATATGTTTGTATGTATATTTAAAAAAACAGCTGAGTTTTTTTTCCAGAGATCATTTATGAATATTTTTTTTTATATATATCATATGTTTAATTAGAAAAATATGTTTTGATATAAATTTGTTACTTCTAAATCAATTGAATGAATTTTAAAGATGTATATTTGTTGCCAAATTTTTATTTTACTTTTGTTTTTTAGAAATAGAGTTTTGTGGTTTTTTTTTTGTATCTGTTAGAGGTTATTATAGTTGTGTACTTTTGTGTTTTTTCGATATGAGTGTTTTTTGTATATAAATTTTACAAGGTGATAGAAATACATGTACTACAAAAAAAATGCAAAAGTTGGGATTTTAATAAAAGGTGGTTAACAATGATTGTTTTTAAGGTTGAAATCATTATCTGACCCAAAGCATTAACCTATTGATAAGAAAACCCCTCGGGAGCCCTACATTTAAAACTAATTTAATTTAATTTCAACTTATAACATCGTGGATCACGTGGATCTTAATTGATTTAGAAAATACGTACTGATTATTTTCTATATTCGTCAAATTTGATTTAAACTTTGTTTTGGTAAAATCAGTCACTGCATGCATTTCTCTGTACCTGAATTTTTTTAAAAAAAATTCTGTCTGTATTCAATTAAATCAAAATTGCTTCTTGCCATATTTTTTCTGTGGTTAATAAACTCAAACTTTAGAATATATCATGGAAAAAAAAAATATACAAAATCAAATAATTAGACCTTGGAACCATTTTGAAATTCAACTGTCTTTCAACTTGTTTTACAAGTAAATGTATTGACATATGACTCCTTTTAATATTTATGATCAAGGTAGACATTTTATAGATGAGAGCCTCACTAATTTTAAGTATTTTCAAGCATTATTATCATTATTTCCTTGTTTTGTGAATTAAAAATAGCAAACTGAAATAAAAGAGGACAGTATCATATCATATGCTTCAAAGTCCAGGTTAATCTCTGTGGTTAAAGTATGCTGTACCTGGGCAATGCTATTTCTCTGTGTGGACACTGAAAAATTCTATTTCTCAATAGGTAAAATAGGACATATCAGTTCCTGCACATTTACAATAAATATAAAGATGCATAAAAAGTTGTTTGACTAAATTTTGTTAAATTTAGTTGTCATTTCCATGTTGAGGCATTTTCCTTCTTGACTTTGATAACATTAGTGTTGGTTATTGAAAGTTAATAGCTTCAGTAAGAACAAATAATTGCAAGTGCTCTCTGTCCATCAGTAGTTAAAACATTCTAAAAATAAGCAAGAACTGATTTTTGTGAATATAGGCCTTTTGTAACTGAGTGTAGTTTTTACATTTATGTAGTAAAATTTCTATAATTTCATAATTGTTGCATGTATAGAGGATCTGTCATAAGTTTCCCTTCATATTAGATTTATGATACAAGTTTTGGATTTTTGATGTTTGCGAGTAACATAAATCTAATATGAAGGAAAACCAATAACAGATTCTTTTTATCATATATTACAAAGTAAACTGTATAATTATGACCTGAAACGAATATTTTGCATTTAGCCGCCACTGAAACTATAAAAATGACGTCCCCTTCACAATGATGTGACGTCACATTGACTGTTCCTATTTTATTGTGACGTCATTTCCGGAGTGATATTACACACGTTACATAAATATAATTTATGTGATGGCTTTATGACACTGCATAACACGATATTCATATGATAAAAGTGGATATGACATATATTGTAGTTCTGTATCTGATCATCTGGAGAAACTTGTTAAGGGTCCCTGCCCAACTGCAGTGTGTTATTCCTATACACAGTAGCCTCCCCTTAACTCCTGTTTAGATATAACTGTAGCACAGTTAAGTCAAGTCCATTGACTAGTTAGCTCAATCGGTTAGACCAATAGTATATCAATCTGAAGTCCAGACTATGCCGCTGATTTAATAAAATTTTACACTTAATTTAACACTGTTGTTGATTATATTTTGTTTATTTTATCTTTATTATTTCTCAGAAAAGGTATAGTTTTACTTTTCAAAAATGTTTTATCAAAGCTATAGTAATGCCCGAAAATAACTTGCAAACCTTTGTTACAGTTTTTAGCAGTGTTACAAGGAACCTTAAGCATTGTTTGATTTGCTTACATAATACATGTTTTATATTTCAACTCTTTCAATTTCAGTCCAAATGTACTTTACATAAAAAAAATAAAAAATTGTACATATATTATTTTCAGATTTATTCTAGAAAAATAGATTTGCATATTAGGTTGAATGCTTTTCTTGTTAAAATCTAAAAATTGGATGTCCGTGTATGTTGTATTATTTATCTTTGCTGTCAGGTTGAAATCTGTCAGTCTTGTTTTAAAACGAACCAGTATCTCTTCAACCACATGACAATTTTGAAGATTGGAAATTCTCTATGAGTTAAAAATAACTCACTACTGCAATTGAAAGCTTTGAGGACATTTTTGTGATTTCTCAAAAAGGGGGTAAAAGACAGTGACTTAATTAATTGGATAAAAAAAGCTGATTATTTTATCAGAAATTTGCCCTGAAAAAATTGTAACACTGGCATTCATAGCATCTTCCTTTCAGCAATTGTCGATTGTCTATTGCCAAATAGTTCATGATTAGTAACCAATGAAAACTGCTTTTACATCAGTAACATGGTAGATTCACAATAACATACTTAGAAAACACTATTTTTTGTGGGTTTTATAATTTTATTGATTTCGTGGGTACTCTTCATCCACCAAATCATGTGTCCACAAAGTAGTTACAGATTTGACATAAAGCTGTTTTCCATATGAATGATTTCATTTAGCCACAAACTTGTGTTATTTGAAAAATTACAGAATTTAGACCCACATAATTTCTGATTTCACAGTACACATTAACTTACATATGTATAATACAATTATATAATGTATTAGTGTGTTAACAATGCAGTATAAAATATTCATGCTCTGTTGTAAAAATTGCTTTTTTGAAGGTTGATTCTCATGAACTTTGTTAGATATTTCAATCAAGAACGAACAAAGGCTCATATAATAGCATGCTAAAACTTAACCATTATTTTGAGATTAGTAATTTCTATGGAAATCTTAAAACTTATATTTTTCATTGTTTTTAATGTAAATCAAAGCTTTCAAATAACTGCTAGCCTTTCCACATGCTGTTTTTAATAAATTTAATTTATGCATTTAGACAAAATAATTTATTAACTATATTAGTTTCCATATCAACCAGTTGCCAAAAAATATTCTCGTGATGAAATATTATTTTCATTATTGTGACATTATCATTTCTAAGTGACTTGTGATAATTGTAACAGCAAAGTCAGCTGGCAATCAGTCAGTCATTTCATTTATTTATAAATGTAAAAATATGTTATCAAACATTTATTTCTAATCAATGTGTCTTAACACTTGTGTTGTGCTTTTGGCGTGGCCGTCATTCAGAGGTTCGGAAGGCTAACCAGGTCACAGGTCAAGGTAAACATTAGGTTTTGTTTCTATTTTTATCAGCGTTGTCTGTGTGTTGTCTATTCTTTTGAATATTTTTAGTAATTGCAAAATATGTTTTTTAGTTTCATACATATTTGTTAAAATATGATATAGATTACATATTTTTTGTAGCATTTTATTGTAGAAAACAAATATTTTCGTTCTTCTAATATTTATGAATTTTGCAATAACATAAAAGTATGAATAAAATCAATTTCAGAATTATATTTTTTTTTGTTAGGGAAGGTTGATTTGAATAGAAAAAAAGTAAACCAATTGATTTAAGAAAAATAAATTGAAATAAAAATTCTAAATAAGTGAAGACATTATAAAACATATTTTGACTTTAACTGCCCTGTAAGAAAGACTAGTAAAATACAATGTACAATTATTCCCCAGTATTGAAGTATTGTTTAAATTTAGGATTTGTAAATCTAGACTATAATTGATTAACTATGATTTTAATTGTCTAGTTGGTGTATTCTATAAGGTACATCTTCATAATGTCACCGTATTGTTTATCCTGCCATATGTGAACCAGAAAAATGATGTAATGAAATTTGTAATCTGTAATTCATAAGTACCTCTATTATGTTTTGAGCAAAACAGTGATCATCAAGGTATACGTACACACTTTGAATGTCAGGAGTTCAGACTCTGAATAATGTTACTTTAACCTAGCTTTTACCTGTGTAATAAAAAATTGAAAAGATTGAAAAAACATTGAAAAGAAAAAATTGTACCTTAGAAAGTACAACTCTGAATATAATGTATCAATAAAAATTGGATAACTTTTAACTTTATGTGGTGGGAGGGGGAGGGGGACTTCTAATTTCTCTTGTTGAAAATGGACAATGAAAAGAAACAATCATATTTTTGGAATACAACTCTGAACATCAACAACACTAAAATTTGTTACATTAAACTTCTTCGGAGAAAAAAAAGTTCTAAAAATCTTCCTTTACCAACACTGGAGGATAAATCACATATGTATCAATGGAGAATGAGGTTGACATTATGGAGTTGTGCGCTACAGCAAACCCCTCTACACAGTATTGAGCACTCTTTGTTTTTCTCCATTTAGTTTTCATCCATACCGGAAATTGTGTTTACTGTAAGACATTTCATCTGGCCATGAAATGTTGTCTTTGTCACCTTTATTGTGTGTGAATGCCACGGAACCTCTCTAACATGACCGCATTTTATGTGTGATAAACCACGGGGCTTCCACTATCCACCCTTTACTTATCCTGTTGTCCCATTTAATTCTGTGAACATTTATCTGGTGTTCCATTATCCAACAATTATCCAGTCCACCCCTGAAGACATATTTGAACTCTTCCAATTCAAAGGTTGGACAAGTAAATTATGAAATTTCAGAGGTGAATCAGTTAATTTACCCAGACACTATTTATATCCAGTTGTCCTTTTATCCAGAAAATATGTGCATTGATACTATTTATTGTATGTTATCATATTTCTCTGTCAATATGAATAAGCACAGTCCCCGTTCTACAGTTCGTAGAAAAAACATTATGACTTTTCATTTTCCTGCAACAAGCGCAACCTCAATAATTAACTTTGAGCTAGAGTTCAAGTGTTTGACCCCAGGTTAAATTCAGGATAAATATGGTAAATTGTTTTTGAAGGGAGATAACTCTTACAAAATCATGGGTGTATAATGGGTAATTAGGTATTCGATCGATCGTCAGTGAGCAGGTAGCTCAATTAGGAGAGTGTCCATCTAAGGTTTGGACGGTCCTGGGTTCAAACCCCAGTCATGCCATTGCATTTCTCTTTTTCCTGTTACATATTAGCACTTAGATAACAATTTTACCCAATTGTAAAAGAAAAATATAGTTTTTCCATACAACACTTATATTAAACATCTGCTGTAACAGGGGTTGGGTATCCGAGGACTGACTTTTCACACGTAATATGTCGTAAAACCCGAATTTGAATTCTTTTGACAGTTTCCAGAAATCAAAATTTCGATGAAATTCCAATATTTTTCTTGAAAATCAGTGTTTTAAAATTGAAAGTAAGCAATTAATGTTTAGAGTGGTTTCATGTCCTGTCTGTTTAAAAAGTTTTATGTAGTCCGGTTTTTTAAAGTTGTTTCTGTGAAAATGTACTGCAATACTGTAACTTTATTTATGATTTTCAAGTTTCTGTTTAAATCTTACGTTTTGCTGTGTTTATTTTTCTATTTAAAGAATAAATGTTGGTGTGATGATGTACAAATGTAAATGGCTTCATCCAGAAAATTTGCTGAAAATTTGGAAAAACTTTCTATCATAATAAAGCATGGTAGTCATGTCCTAATGACTTGGTAATATTTCTGCTTGTAAGTGTTTTTTAGAAAACTGTCGTTATCATTTGATCAATAAAATATTTCAATTGAGGAATTGTCGAAAACTACACAAATGTTCAGAGAAATTGACAGACTCAGGGGCCCCAGACAGGAGGTCTGATGAAGTCTGCAAAAAGCCACCTGGATCATCCATTGTTGTGATGCATGCTGTCTTAAGGATCCCTGTCCCAAGGATGCTGGTTTTTCGTATATAGAGTAACCTCCCCTTAATTTCATTTTTGGTGATAGTCTATTGCACAGCTGAGCCAGGGCAATTCCGTTAACCAGGTATCTCAGATGGTTATAGCGACAGTATAATAATCTGAATTCTCAGGTTTTCAAGTCCTCAGGTCTGGCCACGAGCACACTGGGGTGTTTTTTTACACTCAGAAACTGTTATTGATCATTTTTGTTGAATTAATCTCCAATATTTTTCACAAAAGCCTTGTAAGGTATGGTTTTCCTTTCAGAAATATTTTATCAAAGTTATATAGTTGTAACGGAAAAGTCAGATCCAACCGCATAGTTACAGGTTTTGGCAGTGGAACAGGGATCCTTAATTGCCTATATTCACAGTTTAGTTTCTGTTCTCATTTTAAAGTATTGATGTGGCAATGGTATTGAAAAGCATACTGTATTACGCCAGTGTTTTTATCAGCAACATGATCAGGTTTGTAGTAACAGTTGTCTAGTTGCCAACACGGTCAGCACAATTTGACCTTCAAGAAAAGATATCAAATTGAAATTGTGTTTCACAGTGGACTATCAGAAAGTCTTTGAATGAAATATAACATTTTGAAATTGATACCGATTGCTTAGGCATTATAATAAGTTTTATTGATACAAACAAGTTTGTGTGTTACAATCCTTGACTCGTTATCGACAAATACGTTTCTATAAAATATCACATATATATAGCTTCAGCCATCTGCATGAATGTGTATTCTGCAGAACTTGCTAAAACATTCCGTTATACATTTTATATCTTTCTACCTACCCTTTGTACTTACAATTTACCTGTACCTGTGAAATTAATATAGCTATGTGGACGTAAATGACATAAATATTAATCTCAAGATATATTTTTTTGACAGTAAGATGCATATCAAGCATGAAAAGGACGAGGCGTGTTGTGAATATCTTTTAATAAATGTGAATTTACAAGTGGTTTACTTCAAGTACGCAGGTTAGCTGATGGAAATTCTATCTGCTCCAAATTGGAGTTGTTTAGATCTTAGTTATGTAATTTTTTCATATTAAATAAAAAAAAGGTGTCGGATGGTGATATGTAGATGCATACAAATCAACTTTGATGTTGGTTATTCAGTACCATGAAAGTAATGCTGCTCTTTAATATTAGATTTCATTAAAAAGAGAGTTTTGTTTACCTGCCTTCCATGTGCGTAGTTACATGTATTTAAGAAATTATATAGGTTTCAGCCATGCACCATGTTTGAAATGGAGCAAGCATATAATTCACAAGAATTTTAAGATGGTGGTCATTGGGTGCTCTCCAGGTTTCTTTCCATTTGTTTTGACGTTGATTTGTATTTTGTATCCACCAGGGATTCAAATGGAGGTTGTGGACAGTTGTATGGTCAATAACGGTGGATGTGCACACATTTGTCGTCACGGCCCTGGAGGACCAATCTGTAGCTGTCGTCACGGTTACATTCTCCAAGCTGATGAGAAGTCCTGTGCAGGTACATAGTTATGAAATTTTTCATCCAATCTGATCAGTCATTTTAAAGATTTTATAATTGAAATGAATTTCGAAACTTTCAAAACTTAATATTAATCATTAGCAGATTTATTTATTTTTTAAAATATTTTTAATGTATTTTATTTTTTATTTTTTATTTTTTCATCCAATCAACAAACTGATTGATGACTTTAAAAACAATAAAGCATGATGGAAAATTGTGACTCCCAAAATGATGATGATCGAATACTGTGTACAGGGAACTTTTCTTTGCCGTTTAACACTTTCGCCTTTTTCACCTTCAGTAATGAGTGTGAATTTATAAGCGCCATGCAACATTAGCAAACGACATAATAAATATAGCAATCGAATGCGAAGGGCGAAATTAGCACAGGGCGAAAGTTTTGCCGTATACAGTAATTCAAATGACATCTAATCTATTAAGTCTGAATCAGAACAAGTGTGACATCAAATTTTGAATAATACTTGAGTTTATGACATTTTTCATTATAAATAGATGTGTTTGTCAATATTTTTTATTCCCAACAGATGCTAATGAGTGTGAGTTAGGAGAGGCGTGCTGTGTCCAGCTCTGTACCAATAATCCCGGAGGATACACCTGTGGGTGTCGGCCAGGTTTCGTCCTCAATAAGGATGCCTGTGCCTGTGATGGTAAGTCCAGTCTCTCAACCAATCATATCTCACTATATATTTGTGATCATGTGATTGATTTGACATGGTCACGTGACAATGTCAACCAAATAATTCACCTGGTTGTCATCAGTTTGATGGGATAACAAAATGTTTATAGTATCGTTTACAAGTGTTGACTCTTAATTATATGGTAATATCTCCTGAATGTCATATTTCCAACAGATGTCCTCTGATAATGACAAATATATGATAATTATAAACAAAATCATGTCTTTGACATTTTATTCCAATTTCTTGTGGTCAACTTTTTGAGTTTTCTCCTCATAACCTCACCAAAATATAAAGGTATTTCTTTAAAAAAAATAAAAAAAATAATGTCACTTGTCACATTGAGCAAAATATGATATTGGCACCCTTACGACAACTTTAAGATGTCAAAACCCCAGATTAATTTTAAATGTTGTTTTGGTTCTTTAAATACTCGGTAAAATGATGTCTTCGGACTCTGAAATCTAAATAGAGAATGACTCCTTTAGTGAAATATGCTCTGAACATCATTACTAAAACCCATTAATGGAGGAAAGGCAACAGTAAGTTAACTCGGAAAGGATGTTGGAATCTGTGAGTAATTGATACATCATTTATAAACTACATATGTGGTATTCAAAGTTACGATCAGTTTTTTTCTCAGACTCCCTATTATTGACGAACATTTATGTATACCTTCGTAAAAACGTATAACTATACAATGCAAATACAACAGACTTTTTTCCAATTCATTTTCTCCCAAAAAAATCATTGTTTTGTCCATTTGCTATATTGCATGTGATATTGTGACTATTTTTAACCCTGGTTTCTGACATGTGTTTATCCCTTTTCCTATCTTCTCCTCACACCATTACTGGGTAACCCTCCAAAACACTATCCAATGTACTGCCTTAAGGCACAGAGGCATGATCCAGAATCAAAATCAAAATTTTGAATGAAATTTGAATGTAAACTTCATATTTTTGACTTTGCATTTTTTACACATTGAGACATGAAACCTTGAAGTTGTATTTTAATTTTTAATATTTATGAAACACTGTATAATATTTAAAAAACATTTAAAAGAAACTTTCTGTGAGCCGCAATATTTTGGCCCTGCCAAATGTTAGGTTTACCCTCGTTTTAAATTCAAACATCGTTTCGCTATAAATCTATATTTACTTGTGGGTATATTTTGTCACAATTCTTGCCCCTGCCGATTTTGACACAATGACAAGGTTTCATGTATACGATCTTTTACATTTGTAATGACCTGTTGTAACTGTATGAGACACGAGCACTGGGGTGATCTCCCTTGTCGTTGTTGTGTTTTACGTTGTTGGTGTACGTCTTGTCACACTTTAGATATTCAAGAATGTTTAACTGACAATGGTGGATGCGAACAGCAATGCGTCAACTCGGAGGGATCATATGCTTGTGTGTGTCGGCCCGGCTACCGACTGGCACCCAACGGACGGCGGTGTCTTGGTAAGGTCACTTTAAGACAACATAGAGTAGAAAATACAAATACTCCTTACTTTGTAGACATTGCTGAAGAACATATTATATTTTAAAGAAAACTTGCTTTTAGATTCATTTCAGAAATCTGTCAGGCCAGCAGAATACAACAACAAATTACTTGATCTTAAGAAGAAAATTGTTTTTTCAAACAAGTTATGATAAAAACTTGTTGACATAAATTATAGAATATTTATGTATTTTTGTAAGTATTAGTGTAAAGAAACATTTAAAAAACTCAACATTTTTTTTTTAGACAAATTGCTGCTTTTCCAGGCACAATTTTTTAATTAATATTTTTTAAGAATTTCAACAGGCAGAATTTACCTGTACAAAAAACTTGAATGAAATTTTAATGCTTTTAAAAATTAACTTGTTAAAAAATATATACCATATTTATCCTGCAATAACCTCAGGGGGCCAACACATTATTTCTGACTGAAAGTAGGGGGATGGGTGGGCAATCAAAAAGCTAATTTTAATGGCATTTCTTCCTAACTGCTATATTTATATATATATATATATTATAAATCAGAAAAATGATCCTTACGGACGAAGAAATACTATAAAAAGAAAAATTTTCAACAATGAGTCTCTAGTACTTTCATCTCTTAAATTAAGACTCGTTGTTGAGAATTTTTCTTTTTATAATATATATATATATATTGGTGGGCTTATTACCAAGCATGGGCTTATTGTCAGATAAATACGGTATTTATTAAAGTAAATGATGAATAAAGTAGAAAAATACATATGAAATTCTAGAAGGTAATGTAAATATAAGCTTGTGTGTAGATATGTAGGTCATATATATTTAGGACAAAGAAATATAGGTTTGAGAAATGTAGGTCATAGATATTTAGGTCAGAGAAATGTAGGTCATAGATATTAAGGACAAAGAAATATAGGTTAGAGAAATATAGGTCAGAGATATTTAGGTCAGAGAAATGTAGAAATTGTTTCATTTTCGAAAAAAAAATGAATATAAAAGAATATTAGATAAGAATTCAATATTTATGGTGTAACTTAAACTTATGTATTCAAAAACTTTGAATTATTTGTCAAATAAATATTATATTGTAGTTGAGTATATTATTGACAGTAGTCAGTAGAGATACATATATATATATATAATTATATAGTAGTTCTACATTAGTACTAGTATAGACCTATTAACCGACTATATATATGTAGTACATGTATATATTGTTAAATTGTTGCTTGTGCTGAATTATAGATATATAATTTAAAAAATTTGAATTCCTGTATAAAAAGCAATCAATGATTATAGTCATTAGAAAATGTAACTTGGACTGTTATTAACTTAATGGAAATTTTATTATTTAAATCGTTTCTAGTAACATTAATTTTCGTTATCTCACAAATAGAAATGTGATCTGTAAAGAAAAATGACAAGAGAAAGGTTGTTTTTCTCCAAGACAAAATTAAAATGTTTTGTGAAGTTATTTTTACTAAGTCTTAGTTTAGATATCTAATATTAATAAATTTTGATAATTTAGATATAAAAAAACGAAAGGTGTGAAAATGGAACATTGGCAGTATTGTTGGATGTTTCTTGTATAGAACTCTTGTTTTAATGTGGATATTTTGGACAATCAGAAACAGAATTGGTGTCAAGTGACTACATCTGCATGTATGTTGGTATATTTATGGGATATGATTTTCAATAAAGTTTTGTTTATAGAGAAGAGTACTACAGATTATTTGTGAATTTATCACAAAACAAGTTCTTCAAGTTCTTTATAGGGGCTGTTGTATTACAGATATTGTTTTTGCAAAAATATATTTCTAATGGTGACTTGCTTAGCTAGCAAAAACACTTAAACCATAGATAAAATATGATATCTAGATGTGAATGTGCCATCTTTTCTATTCTTTTAGTAGTAGAATTTCAAACATTCAAAGGTTTTTAAAAGTGTAATCCTGCATGTCAAAATATTTTTTTTTTTTTTTTTTTAAATTTGATTATATATGTTAGTAAAAATTCTGTCTGATCCTTTTAAATGACACACAATGTTACATAATATTGGGCCAAGGCATTCTCAATGGCAATTGGATATGGTTGAGTTAAGTTCATCATTGCAAGACATTATGGTACATTTGGGTACAGTCAAACTGTGTGGGACCATCATGATCAGAAAACAATTCAAAAGACTTGGACTCTTGAATGTTGAACATAAGGCATACAACCATATGTGGTTGTTAAGTGATGGAACACTAAACAAGATATTTAATTTGAAATCTATAAATATAAAATTTTAAGGAAATTAGATAAAAGATGCTTCATATAATTCATTCACTGTAGTTTTTGCATGTTACATGTTAAAATAACCCATGGACATTTCAATATTCTCGTACAGGTAATTGTTTTACTTTGATTTATTAGTTGTAATTTTCAATGTTTTCCTAATGATCAGACCTTGATTGCATTTCAAAATAATAATAAATTAATTTGACTCATAAACGTTTGGTTCAGAAATGGAATATTGGTAGTGTTAAACCTGGAAACAAATCTGTACTGTGCGGTAATTAAGTTCGACACATCAAGAAATTTGAACATTTGAAGTTCGATTTATGGAAGTTTGATTCTATTTCAACATGGGAGAAATTTATAAATATTTGAAGTCGTTAGATCAGACAGGATATTTGTTGTCGTGTATTTTTTTATTTTTTTTATCATTTGCCTGTTGACTGTTGATGTTGTGGTTGAAATTTTCAGTGGACTATTCGGTGGACTTTCGTACCCCTGCCCCTCCTTTTCCTCCACAGCGAGGCCCCTTGAGGGGGGATGTACCGTTCTCCCGTTATATTCGGTACCAGACAACTTCTGTACCGGTCCCCATAATTCCGGTACAGGATGAGGATGTACAATTATCTCATGAACTCCCCGAACCAGAAATAAAGTTTGGTATGTCGTAAAATAGAAAAATACCGTCACCTTACTTGCTACTTATAATTTTGTTGTTCATTAAAATTAAAATAAAACCCTCCCCTATAATTACTGTTGATAGCTATAGTTAGGAGATGGAGTTGTGGGAGTTTAAAAATGAATTGGACATAATGTTTTAGGGCCAAAGAAAATATTATAAAAAGATTTCCAAAATGGCTGCCAATGATTTTAAACAAGATTCTGAATCAAACGATTCCTGCCCAGGGTAAAATTGATCTCAGTGTCATAAATTTTTCTTTTAAAAGACACAATTATATTGAACAACAGCATCAAGAAGCAGGTTTGGTGTGGATGGTTCCTTTAGTCCGATGTGGCTAAAACATACTGGTTATGTGTACTGGTCAGGTACATAATGGTCATTTATTCTTGACCGACATCCTTAACAGGCTTCTCCAGTAGTTCAGCATTGACAGATTGATATTAAAAAAAAAGGCTAATATTTTTAAGCCTCTCACCACATGATTAATCTTGAATCAAAGCTTTCCCCTTAAATCAAAGCTTTCCCATGCTCAGCATTAAGCCCAACCCTTGTTAAACAAATTTATACAAGAATGGTACAACTTATCTGGAAATTAGCTTTTTCATACTTATAAATATATTTTTTCAGATATAGAAATTATCCAACTACTCATTGACCACTAAGACTAGTGTAAAGTAAAACCTCTTAATAATGACATTATTTGTCCATTAACATTTTGGCATTATTAGGGATCTTGTAATATTTCAAATAAGACCTATGAAGACATATTGTAAAGGAAAAATTAAAAGTAGGGCTTGAAATATGATGGCAGTAATTATATAAGCGAATTGACAAATGAAAGGAAGGGCATTATACTGAGGTTTAACCCTTTCACCCCTATGCAACTTTAGTAGACTCTCCCATGCATTGATCTGGATGAGTCTATTATGGTTTACAGTGGTGAAAGGGTTAAAAGCACAGGTAATAATTTAATTATTGTGGACTTCCATTGGCTTCAATCTTTATTAATTTGAACATGTGCTGCGGCCCTGTTAAGTATAATAATTACAGATCCTGGAGAAGCCTGTTAACACAAGGATAGGTGTACATCTGTTGACCAGAGAAACACAGGGCAACGAGCTATAGGGTCATTGTGGAAATAGCGTTTTATATTAAAAAGATAGAAATTTGAAATCAATGTTAATTTCTTTTATCTATTTTCTCTGTAAGCTACCAATGGATCCTACCCAGGTGAGAGGGATTCTTAAAGTTAATTCGCACTTTTTGAAATTTAATTTGAAATTAATGACAATATAGATCAATGGATATTTAAAGGAAAAAATATACATGCATAATATATATGATTTTACCCATATACAGTAAACGTTTTTTTATAAAATAGCTTTAAATTTCATTATTTTGTTACAATAAAAGAATGTTTCTAGTATGGTTTTTTGTTTTATAAGAATTATGCATACATTATTTATGTTTGTGTGTTTGGTGGCAGAATGTATACAAGGGACTTTCGGATCAGACTGTATGTACTCGTGTAGAGACTGTGTAAACGGAGCTACATGTAACGATCGTCAAGACCAGTGTATCTGTCGACCCGGCTGGCATGGTCTCCTCTGCAATCACACCTGTCCTGAGGTATAATAACTTAAATTAAGGAGTTATGCTACCTACTCTGAAATAAATCTCCTTTTTTAAAGAGTTCTACACCCAAAAAATCTGTGCAACAATTTTGATGAATGTTTATTTGGTCTTAAGCTTAACCCTTTCACCCCTATGTAACCTCGATAGCTTGGTTTCTATGGTGACCAATTTCTGTTTACTTTCAAGTCTCATTATTCCAGTGTCATGCAAATGTAATAAAATGTACCACAGTATATTATATATCCCTGTATATGTTTTTTTTTAGCAAAATCTACAGATATTTATATTGGTAACCATTATGTTCTCTAAACATGGATTTTATGTTGATCAAATGTTTCAAACATTATTAAGGCTGGGGTTTCTTAGGTGATAATGTTTCATAGACCCAGTATCTAATTCTATACTTGGTTTCTATGGTGACCATTTTCAGTTTTGTATGCACAATTTTCTGTGTATGGTTTCTATGGTGTTTATTTTCAGTTCTGTTCCCAAATTTTTCTACATGTATATATGGTTTGTGTGGTGACCATTTTCAGTTCTATAAACACACAATTTTCTATGTACAGGGTTTCTATGGTGACAACTGTAACAGCATCTGTGATTGTCAAAATGGCGGAACCTGTGATCCAGAGACGGGTAGATGTATATGTCCGCCTGCAGTGGAAGGTCGTAGGTGTGAAGACGGGTGTCCCCGCGGGTTTTACGGAGCGAGTTGTAACATCACCTGCCCGTATCACTGCTCCAGCGGGCATTGTAACCGGCTGCTCTACTACTGCCACTGTGAACTCGGAAAGTTCGGTCAGAGCTGTCAACTGGATTGTCCCCCCTTCACCTATGGATCGAACTGTATCAACGAGTGTGACTGCAATATTAACAACACCAAGACCTGTGATGCCAGGGTAACTATTTTGACATACAACTTTACAGTGGTAATCTTATTTCAGGGATTTGATTTTGTCCCCCTGTGTTTTATAGGTGGTGGGTGTTTATATGGTGCTACCCATGTTTCACTAAGGGTCGTAAGTCTTCTTGTAGACGTAATCGTGAGTGTAACTTACATCTAAAACCAGTTTTACTAAAAATCGTGACTTTACGAGTCGAAAATTTACCTTTGAATTTACACGTCAGTCTACATCTGTTCTTATGTGCACGTGAGATTAAATTTTTCTTTAAACTGTTACAACATCCTGTCCCATCGCTATGTCATTGTCGCCTTTCACTCTCATCAATCTAGTGATTTCTTTTCGTAAGAGATTTTGAACAAACTTTATACATAGGTCAAGTAGGAGAATTAATCTCGCATGACTACGTGTTTAAATGGTTATAGGCGTAAGGAAACGGTCACTAACATTTAATACAATTTATTCGACCTTTTCAGCAACATCCATCCAGCATCTTCATCAAATTTTATATAAAAAAAAAGGTTGATTATGAAATACTTTGAATGAGTACATTTTCAAGAACCCATTACTATTGATAAAAAATTGTCAAACCTTAACACTAATTATGACCTCACAGCGGAGATGCAGGTGCCCTATAGTAATTGTGGTGTCCATCAGCACTTTTGTTTCCGAAGATTATCTTAATGCAGAAAAATTAACCCTAACCATAACCCTCAAAATAGACTGGCTACCAGCCCTCAGGTATTTATGAAGAATTTCCCAGATGCATTTTACTACTAGCTTATCTCCCTGTAGTTTAGAACATCCAAGTAATCAAAATTATTAGAGTTAATTTTTTATTCTAAATAATTCAATATTCTAGAGACAAACTAGTCTTCCCTCTAAAGTATATAGGTGGAAGTTAATTTAATGGATTGGAAATAACTGGAAAATTTTCAATTTTGATTTTTTTTTTGTACGCCAGACTGGAAAATGTTCCTGTCAGCCTGGGTTTTATGGTGAGAGGTGTGAACTCCCTTGCACCGAAGACTTTTGGGGTCCGGGATGTCTGCAGCGTTGTAACTGTCGTAATCAGATGGTCTGCGATCCCATGGACGGTGTATGTCGTCATAACTGTCTGGCCGGAAAAACTGGAGAAGATTGTGAAGAATGTAAGGGACATCACATATGAATATGAGTGTTTTCATTGACTTTATGGATATATATGCTATCTAAATATTATATATTGTCTGTTTCAAAAAGATTTCCACACTAAAAATACTGTAAAACACCTTTTCTTGTGGTAATACATCTTATTTCTACATTCATGTATACATGCATAGTAAATTATTTAAATTTGAAGGGGGAAAATAAAAATGTAATACTTGTAAGGGAGGTAACTGTCAGTTTCATGTGTGATAAGGTAGCATATATCCTTAAGTCACTTTTCTTTACTGTAACATGTACTATGTTTGGCAAGCAGATGCTACTTTGTGTTGTAACAGTTGATTCTTTAAGTTTGAATTTATTTCATCAACTTAATTTTTTCTGCATAATTATCACATAGAAATTTCACATTTCTTTAATTTTCTTTTCAAATATTTGTACACCCTATATGTGTTTTAATGATGTGGTCACTTTAATTTTGATTAATGTAAACAATAATTTTGAAGGATCATTATTCACAATTTTGATTCATAAAAATTGCATGTTTCCTTTCTTAGAATTTATTTTTACTTTTTCTCTTTCAACTTTGTGTCTTAATGTGTAGTCAACAATTTAGCACAGATAACAAGTTTGAACAGAATTAAAAGAAAAAACCCTGATGATACATTTTAAAAGTTCCTGTCAGACCAAATTTTACAAACAACTGCTTTGGATTTGTACAGTGGATTGCCATTTAAATATGGATATGTTCTTGTATTGACTGCAATTATTTAAGTCAATTTAATTGAAAATGTCACATTAGATTCTAAGTTTGGGATAAAACATAAAAGTTTCAGAAAGATACTTTGAAAAATATTTCCCAAGGATTGTTGATATCTTGATTGAGCTTTTGTTTACCGTAATTTCTTGTTTTCAATTTACATGAAAATTGTTGACTGTACATTTGATTTTGTTTTCTTTGATGTTGTCACCCTGTGTTTGATATCACCCGTTGTTTACAGCGTGCCCTAGTGGTACTTTCGGTCTTTACTGTAAACACCGCTGTCAGTGTGGGGGAAGTGAATGTTTGCCTGACACGGGGGCCTGCATATGTCATGCCGGTCGACGAGGAAAGCACTGCAGAGACAGTGAGTGGCACGGCACAGTTCTTATCAATCTGATTCAAATGCAATTCTGACCTTAATAGCGAAAATGTTGCTATTTAGACCAACCAAATCCATTGTATGATAACAATTTTATTTACCTCCCGAGTATTCCACAAATCTTTCTAATCAGTATCGATCACAGGTATTCAGACAATCTCCTGTCAGTATTCAAACATCTTTTCAAATCGATTGCTGAATATTCTGACAAACTGTCTAATCTGACCACTGAATATTCTGACATGACCTCTGTTCTTTCCAGCATCCTCTTGAGTAGTGATGTTATATTAAGTAGATCAACATTCTTGGGAGCAATCTGTTATCCTGTCTTATCTGCCCCCTGCATATTCTGTCACCCTGTCTGATTCGACCAGTTATATAACTCCTTATTGTTCTGACATCCTAACCTATCCAACAAATTAAGTAAATTTTATAAACCGGGAGAAAATGAAGAATTACATTTGAATTAGATTTATTTCAAATACTGTGACTGTTGCACTAACAAATTCTACTAATATCAATTTTATTTAGGATTTTGAACATATAAAGTTTAAGTTATTTTGTTAGCTCTGTTTTTGATTCACACTCCATTTAAAGTTATTCTGTTACAAAGGAATTTAAAAAAAAAGTCGGTTCATCTATTTTAAGGATCCCAGTCTTACTGCACTGTGTTTGTCCTATATACAGTAACCTCCCCTTAACTTCCGCATTGATATGATTGTAGCACAATTTGATGCAGACACTTTTGATGACCAGGTAGCTCAATCGGTTATAGCAATGGTATAACAATCTGATGTCTGGGGTTCGAGTCCCGGTCTAGCCCCAATAAGTTTAATACTCGGAATACTGTTGTTGATTCTATCTTGTTTATTTCATCTTTATTATTTCTCATTAAAGTCCCGCAAGATATGGTTTTCTTTTCAGAAATGATTCATCATATGTAAAGTCATATCGTAAAAACAGTTTCCACTATTTAGTTACAGTATTTAGCAGTGATACTGGGATCCTTATGTTACTTAAAGTATAAAGAGTTCATTATGTTTTAAAATAATTGTTTGATAACGTTAACGGTCACAAAGCTCCATTATGTTGTTGATTATTATTTGAAATAAAAGATCTTTTTCACATGTAGTACATGTAATATAATTTCTGTGTTGACACTTTCTTAATAATTAGATATTTTATAAAAATTAATCCTTTCACCACTGTAGACCATATGATGAACTCATCCAGATCAATGCATGGTTGAGTCTATTGAAGTTATATAGGGGTGAATTGGTTAAAATCATTTTAAATTATCATAAATATCAATACAAATTTTGAATTGATCTGTACACTGAGAAACCATGATGCACCAATTTAATGCATTGTTAAATTGTTTTATCTGTTAATTTGAAGTGTTGGAATCTAGATTAATGAGGTCTTAAGTAGAAACTTGCATGTTTGTCCGCAATTTTGATTGCCCAGTTCTTGTCTTATCATGGTCCTTTGTGTTGTAGCTTGTGCAGAGGGAACCTGGGGTATCAACTGTGAAAACATCTGTATGTGTATGAACGGCGGGTCATGTGACACGGTAACTGGAGAATGCATTTGTCCTGACGGCTGGTATGGTCGCGAGTGTAAAGAAAGTAAGTGTTTTCATTCGACCAATCAAAATCTAACCCTTTACATCTTTAGTGTTTTCCATGAAATGTTAATGAGTTCAAATCCAATTTGAAATATAAATTAATATATAAATATAAATATAAATTTATATATAAATATAAATATAAATTTATATTCCATATTTATTCAGTATGACTTGCAGGTCTTCTCACAACCTTTAAAAATTAAATTGTGATTTTAGTAAAAACTTAAATTTACCTTATAAGCTCTCTACATTTTTCTGGCACAACTTTCTATCCCTTTACCCCTAATTTTATGACTTATTTAAAAAAAAAGTTGGATCTTTGAAACAAGTCTTTTTTAAAGACAATTTGGAAAGTTCTGAAATCCTGTTCGGGCAATTTTTTAAGCATTGAACTGCTTTCAGATTGCATTCATATCGCCTATGAAACTGCCAACTGAAAGCTGTTCAAAACTTTTATTTACCATTTCAGCATTTAGTTAAATAATGTATCTATCGTGTGTGTTTGTTCAATGAATAGAAAACTATTACCTAGGAAAGTCTGTGGATCCAACATCACAATTGTGACGTCATCAATCAGTCCATGGCATTCATAGAAGAAATGAATGCCAACTGAATTTGCTAGGGTTATTAAAAGTGACAATACCATACGATGGTAAACATCTGAAGTAGTTTGTCTGTAGAAATAATTAATAAAATTATTATAAATAAATATTTGAGAATTAAATATAATGTTTTGGTTTGAATGCCTCTTCCTCAGTTTGCCCCCAGGGCCGGTACGGAGCTCAGTGCCTGTTGCGATGTCTGTGTGAGAACAATGCTCAGTGTAGCCCCAAGGATGGTCGCTGTAACTGTTCCGCAGGTTGGACTGGTCAGATCTGTGATAGAGGTATGCTGTAATTATACTTTATATCAAACTTGTAATGACTTTGTGGACCTATGAATTCATATATGAAGATTACCCAAGAAATCAAGAAAATTGAAAAACCCACGAAAATTAGTGATTTCACAGTATACTGTAAATATTCATTTTTTATAGTATATGTTACAAAACTGTGCTTATATCAATTTTGCAGCTTGTCCAGCGGGTTCCTTTGGTCCCAGTTGTAAACAGAAGTGTCAGTGTCGTAACGGAGCCGATTGTGATCCCACCAATGGGGAGTGTCTTTGTGCTCCGGGCTGGCATGGACCTGGATGTGACCAGAGTAAGTGTGTCAGGACATTATACTTGTACATCATACTTTTATTGCCTTTACTGATGGGAAACAGGATTCTTTATTTCTCCAAGGTTGATCATGTTTCACACAAGGGCTTCAAATAAAATATGATTAATGAAGGAGAAACAAAGAATGGTCTGCCCTCATGAAACATGACTAACCTCATAAAAATAACAGAATCATGCTTCCCTACAGTAAGAGTAATACATATTTTATGATGCCGAAAAAAACAACAACACAGTAACACAATTGTAGAGATGTTAAGTTTAATTTGCCATTGTTTAATTTGCCATTGTTGTTGACTGCTTTCATCAGTCAGAACTAGGTTGTAGTGGCTCTTGCCGATTTTTCTAGAGACTCTAAATAGTGAAAATCTGATATGGGAATCTAAGCATGTGAGGGCGAAATGATGATTTATTGCCCCAACATGTGACCAGTATCACCCAATCAGACACGCTTTTATAAAGATAAGGCATAATGATATGTGAAGTTGCCTTCTAGCTTATGTGCTAGAGAATTTTTCCTTTTAGCTCAGCAGTAGATCTAGAGCATCCAATAAGAAAGTCCGGGATCTCTGGTTCAAACTCCAGAACAAGGGCACAAATTCTTGGCATATCTCCTTCCACTGATTGGTGTAGCAAGACCAATCTAACAGTTTCCTGAGTTGATATAGACAGGATTCGGATTAGAGAGTGTTTATTTACTATACTTCAAGAGAGGTAAAAGATGGGACAAAATATCAAGGCCAGCATAGACAAGGGTCCTCATGTAGCTATAAGACAGGTTATACAGTGTGTAATGTTTTTAAATGTACTTTTCTCATTTAAATGATGTTTAAAAACTCAACTGTTTATGTTTCCAGAATGTGAGAACAATACTTATGGTCCTGGATGCAGCCAACCATGTCAGTGTTATAACAGTGCCATGTGTGACCACATCAGCGGGGCTTGTGTGTGTACCTCTGGCTGGCGTGGCCGCAGCTGTGACAAGGCATGTCCCGAGGGTTTCTTCGGCCTAGAGTGTCAGGGTGTCTGTAGTTGTGGTAACGGGGCCGAATGTAACCACGTCGACGGGACCTGTCGGTGTGCACCCGGTTGGATGGGCAACCAGTGCTCGGAGCCATGTATAGCAGGGATGTACGGAATAGAATGTTCCCAAAGGTGCAACTGTCAAAACAGCGGTGTATGTGACCACGTGTCAGGAACGTGCATTTGTGATAAAGGTTGGCGGGGCGCTGATTGTGAGGAAGGTGGGTGTTTGTAAAGAACGTTCCTTTAAAACATTTCTAGTAATTCAAAGAATATTCAAATCGGGTAATTTGGTGCCATATACTATACAGAGAGTTACCACAGGGGTTTATCAGGCCTGTTTAACTCATTCACCCTAGGCCTGAAGACACATTTGAACTCTTCCAATTCAAATGTTGGAATAATTTATTATAAAATTTCAAGGGTGAATGAGCTAAAGGACTCAATCCCAATTGAAAAAGTGTGTTATTTTTACCAATTTAAATAAATTCCTGAACAAAATGTGATCTAATTATGGAATTATGATAAAATCAAAGGAAATTTTTCATTTTAGATGTAATGTGATTAATCTAATCCAATCAATATAATGATAATTGATAGGGATGAGGTATAATATTGTATGTTAATGTTTTCGTTTCCCCCTGCAGCCTGTCCACCCGGGCACTATGGCAGTAACTGTTTGTATAGATGTTACTGTCTCAATGAGGCATCCTGTGACCACATCAGTGGGGTGTGTAACTGTACGCGGGGCTATACGGGGACCGCCTGCGAACTCAGTAAGTCACACTCCAAAGGACAATTTTGTACGACAAATTACCCAACATCAATACACACTATCAATACATAAGTACAAAAATGGAACTCATGATTAAATCTTTGATTCTTCTCTCTCTCTTTCTGAAAAAAATAAAAAATTACCGTATCTATCCTGCAATAAGCCCAGGGGGGCAACCTATAATCTGTGACTGACTGACAGTAGGGGTGGGCTTATTACTGGACAAGAAAGCTTTCGGCGGCATTTCTTCCTAAACTGCAATATATATTGGTGGGCTTATATAAATATCAAGCATGGCTTATTGCTGGAAAAATACCTTAGTTACTCCAGACTCTTGTTTTCATATACATCTTGTATATATGGGCTCGCACTACAACTTAAGTAATCTAATGTTTTGATGTCTTATGAAAAGGTGTAACATTTACCTTTACAGCGTGCCAAGAGGGAAAGTACGGCCCGAATTGCGCCTCCACGTGTGACTGTGTTCATAGTGAGTCTTGTGACAAGTCCACGGGGGTGTGTATATGTAGTCCTGGTTACCGTGGTGAACGCTGCGAGACTGGTAAGTAATACATTTGCATTTATGAATGCTATATCTGTATGTCAAATATTAAAAAAAACTTGTGTATTACATAATATTTTAATGATAAAATAAAATAATTATTTTTTCGTCAATAACATATTTTTTATTTTATTTTTTGCAGAATGTCCTCATGGATTTTATGGAAATAATTGTGATGAGAGTTGTGAATGTCATAATGGAGCAAATTGTAACCACGAGACAGGACAGTGTACATGTTTACCTGGCTGGAGAGGGCGCCACTGTCATAAAGGTAGGTAGGGGGCATTACTTTCATAGAAGGTACAAGTAGGGGGCGCCTCCGTCATCATCATTATACATTTTGTGTGTAGGAGCTTATACTCCCTCAAAAGTTAAATGTACATGTAGGTGTCGCCACTGTCATCAACGTTACAAGTAGGTGTCGCCACTGTCATCAACGTTACATGTAGGGGTCGCCACTGTCATCAACGTTACATGTAGGTGTCGCCCCTGTCATCAACGTTACATGTAGGTGTCGACACTGTCATCAACGTTACATGTAGGTGTCGCCACTGTCATCAAGGTTACATGTAGGTGTCGCCACTGTCATCAACGTTACATGAAGGTGTCGCCAATGTCATCAACGTTACATGTAGGTGTCGCCACTGTCCTCAACGTTACTTGTAGGTGTCGCCACTGTCATCAACGTTACATGTAGGTGTCGCCACTGTCCTCAACGTTACTTGTAGGTGTCGCCACTGTCATCAACGTTACATGTAGGTGTCGCCACTGTCATCAACGTTACATGTAGGTGTCACCACTGTCATCAACGTTACATGTAGGTGTCACCACTGTCATCAACGTTACATGTAGGTGTCGCCACTGTCATCAACGTAACATGTAAGTGCCACAACTATCATCGTGGTATTATTTAGCTCAATTGCAACCATCACCAGAGGTATATGTACGGGGCAGCACTGTTACTGGGGTATATATTCCCTAGTTTAGACTACATGTACTTTCTCGTGTGTGGCCTCTCAATTCTATATTACTATCACTATTTCATTTTGTCCCCACCAATCACAGAATACAACATATTTTCAGAAAAAAATTACAGGATTAAGTGGTTATAGGACTTGAAACATATTGATACGTACATTAATTTCAGAGAAATTGGAAACATTTAATATAGAAATGTTGATTGAAATATTTTATAAGTTTTAGTGTCACATTTGTTCATTCTTTGTTGCATTCATGCTTTATTTTGTTTTAAATTTGTTTTCAATTTCTTAAAGCTTGTACATCAGGATATTTCGGTGAAGATTGTATCGGGATGTGCGAATGTGACCCAGGAATGCCGTGTGATCATATAACTGGCACATGTAAATGTCCCCCAGGTTTTACCGGAGAAAGATGCGACAAAAGTAAGCATATTAAGGGTACATGTAAAACAAACAAATTATTGTACAAAATAAAAAATTGAATCAACCCAGATTTTTTACGAAAACTAATATTTAACATTAGTTTGTAAAAACATATCATTGATAGGAGTAAAATTTACGAAAATGGACAATAACGTATCTGTACATTTCCATTACATAAATAGGAATTAACAATTTTAGTGTGAGATTTGAATTAGCAATTGGTCTGCCAAATAAATAAATATTGAAATTTCTTACCTTAGGCAGGGAGATCAGGTTAATTTATAACTCCTTTATTTCAAAAATGTGAACAATTCAATAAAGTCTTTCAGTAATGGAAACTTTTCGGTACATAACAGGCTTGTAACATCATTTGTGGCTAATTTTACCTTAATCGCTGCTTCACAGAGTGTCCCACGGGTAAATACGGTGAAGCCTGTCAAAATATTTGTGACTGTGTCGGACATCACATGACCTGCCATCACGCCACCGGAGAGTGTGTATGTAAACCAGGACATAGAGGGCGCTTCTGTAACAAAGGTACATAACTCTATTTTTTCTGTTGATTCAGGGTGCAGGAATGTGCATTGCTTTGCTATGGCAAAACGTATGAATTGATAAGAGAATTTGATATATGTCAGTATAGATTTTATTGTTCAGATATGGTATTAATTTTGGTTCCTTCTTTTTATTTTAATAACTTTGGAAAAGAAAAGACGCCCAGATTACAGTTATATACAGTATCAGAGATAATGTGCTGATGATCTTTTAAATCATATTCTGTCGAGCTGGTAGAGTTTCCAATATAATGTAAAACATTTTTTCAGCGGACTCGGCTAAATTTATATTACTACTGAAATATGTACGCTTCGAGAAATTCATCTGATGTGAATTCAAAGGATTCTTAATGTGTATAGTATGCATTTCGAGTGAATTATAAGCTCCAACAATTGATTTTGTTTGTACCGTATTTATCCTGCAATAAGCCCAGGGGGCAAATTAACACACAATCTCTGTCTGAAAGTAGGGGGTGGGCTTATTACAGGACAACACATAATCTCTGACTGAAACTAGGGGGTGGGCTTATTACAGGACAATGAAAAAGCTTTTGTTGGCATTTCTTTATACCTGCAATATATTATTACATGCTTATTACCAGGCATGGGTTTATTGCCGGATAAATACGGTAGCATTATATACACTGTAGTTGTGTGATATCTACAGCTTCATCATGGAAAGGTCTTAAGCATTTAGCTGCTCTTGTCACTTCATCAGTGCTTCCAGGTGTTTGTAAGCAATGCATTGCTACAGTGAAGATTTGTACTAGAATCTATATTTATAGTTCATGTAATCTAATAAGAATAAAGTTTAATTTCATTTTGTTTAAAATATGAAGAAAAGAGATAAAAAAAAACCTCCATTATTTGCTTTTTGCAGACATAGTATATGTTGAGAACTGTAACCTCATGAGTGAGAATTCCTTCTTGGCAGAGTTACCTTCTCTTGTGAGCAAGTATTGATTGTTTCGTCATTGGTTTGTGTGAGAAAATTACGTCGTTTTCTCAAAAATTGATGACGTTTCTCTCACAAACAAATGACGTAACATTCAAAACCTGCAGCGCTCACAAGAGCAGATAACTCTGCAATACGAAAAGACGGAATATAATGTGAAAAAGAATAAAAATTATCAGAATAATTAGCACCATCCCAAGATGCCATCATTACCATATTTTGATCTTTCTACCCTGAAGATGTCTGCTGGTGCTTTCGTTATAATCGGAAGGTGTGTGATAGCCCTTAGCTTGCTGACCAATCATATTTATTCTATAAAAGTATACCTATATGCATATACTGTATGTTGCAGCGAGCTTTAGCTGGTGATGTGATACAGTTAAAAATGAAATGTTCATATTTTTTTTTGGCTTAAAGAAATGTATCTTATATCGATCCTGCTTGCTTTGTTCTGTATGAAGGAAGGAAAAATAGAAAAGGTAGAAAGAAAGGAAAAAAGCAGCGCGATGAAGATGAAAGCGAATTGGACAACGTAATAATATCGGAATCATTTGACTTACTCCAAGATGTCAAACCAGAAACAGGTATCGTACATGCATGCTTTTTCTGCCTATTTTTACACTGATGTATTTTACTTGTAGTAAACCTGTATTCAGTAATAAAAGTTCTACATTTGATACTGGTAAAATGTTGTTGATCATAAAACTATAACCAAAACAGACGATCATTTAATGGAATGAAAGGAGTGTGATAACTTGACAGCACATGTGAAGTTTTCTGCCTCCCCTCAGAAACTAATATCCCGATCACTTAAGTTACAACTATCACTGTTATTTTCAACGGATGTAGAATTGTTTAAAGTCCTTTAATAAAGAAAAAGTCGGAAAAGGAGAAACATTTTTGTTTTAAAGATTTTTTGAATTTTGAATTTTTCGAAGTAGGAAGAAAAAAAGTTGAAATCTCATCGTGTTAGGCCAAAAATTGCTTACTGAGTGACTATTCCGTCTTTTTGTATTGCAGAGTTATCTTTGTGAGAGTAACGTCATCAATTTTTGAGAAAACGACGTAATTTTCTCACACAAACTAATGACGTAACAATCAATACCTGCTCTCAAGAGAAGATAACTCTGCAATACATAGCTATCCTTCCCAGACTTTGAAAAAAAAAATATCTGTTCAAGTTTGGGAGAGTTCAAAGACAACTGTAGAATCTTTCAAAAGGGAGATAACTCATTCCAATCTCTATGGTGTGTAAGGCACAGCAACTTATTGTCCTTATTTGTTTTTTTTAACCATTGAAATAAAGACAGTCAGGTTTTTAGGTCACCTGAGCTTTAGCTCAAGTGACCTATTGCTATCCGTTTTCGTCCGTCGTCGTCCGTCGTCCGTCGTCCGTCGTCCATCGTCCGTTAACATTTTACATTTCAAACTTAAAGTCAAGTTCTGCTGGGCCGATTGAACTGAAAGTTGGTAGGAATGATCGCCTCATGGTCCTGACAAAGTGTTGTTATTTTTCGGGTCGATCA